GCTCCTCCAAAAAATGGCACCCTTCTGAGACAGTCACCCAACTCGGAGCACTAACTGAACCCAGGTGACAAAGAGACCATCTGGAGGGTAGATGCACAAACCCTGTTGTGTCAGTCTTTTTTGAGAGTTTCTCTGGGAATCATGAATTTTTTTACACACATTTCAGTCTCTTTTAACATTTTATTGGAGAGGATAATAACCGGATTTTCCAAGTTCCACCTTCATAGCTGGATAGCAGAAGGGAACTGTGAGGCTAAGCTGAAAGTGCCAGTAGTAAATGTGTTCCGTGTCACTATAGAGGTAGTACCGCACCTAAGAGACACTCTGAGAAGGATGTACATCCAACAATAACAGTGCTCACCTCTCAGGCTTGGTAAAGGGAAGAAATGCACTTTTATATCTGAATTTGAATTTTTAAATATATAATTGGAAACAACAAAACCAATCAAACTCACATAGGGAAAATTCAGAGAGCGATTAAAGAATGAATTAACTAATTCATAATCTCACTATCCCAGAGATAAGTATTTTTTGGTATATTTCCTAAAAAGGGGTTATAGATACAGTTAGATGGACAGTTGGATGGATGGGTGAGTGTAGGGTGGTTCAGTAAATAGGTGGACTTTTTAAAAATTATATTCTATGGTATATCATTTTGTATCTTGCTTTACATAATATAACATCATGAGCATTTTTCCCATATCATGCAATCTTGAAATCATGAGTTATATTTAACTGCCTAAGATATCGTATTAGCTATATCCTTATTTAACTATGAACTCTCCTATTTTTAAACATCAGGTACTTACACTTTTTTTTCCTTCTCCTTGAGTTAATTTAACTCAAGATAGTAAAAATGCTTTAAAAGAAAACTTCCTTTCATTCTGATGCTTTAAAATGTTTTGTTATTATAAAGTATTCTCTTTGGTCAATAAGTAATAATAGATACAATATATTGAGGACTATGGTAGTATGCCATTTTCTATATATACTAGTGGCCTGGTGCACAAAATTCGTGCATGAGGGGAAGGGGTTCCCTCAGCCCAGCCTGCAACCCCTCCAATCAGGGACCTCTTGGCTCCTAACCACTCACCTGCCTGCCTGCCCAATCACCCCTAACTGCCTCTGCCTGATTGCCCCTAACCCCTCTGCCTACCTGCCTGATTGCCCCTAACCTCTCTGCCTGCCTATGCCTGCCTGATCACCCCTAATTGCCCTCCCTTGCCAGCCTGGTTGCCCCCAACTACCCTCCCCTGCCAGCCTGATCTCGCCCCCAACTACCTTTCCCTTCTGGCCTAATCGCCCCTAATTGGACTCTGCCTTGGCCCCACCACCATGGCTTTGTCCGAAAGGAAGTTGGACGTCTGGAAAATGGCCAGTGAACTGGTCTAATTAGCATATTACCTTTTTATTAGTATAGATAGATTATATATGATAGGATTGCTTAGGTGGGGGGAGGGGAGCCTTTTTCAGCAGGAGGATATGCTCTTGGCAGACAAAAATACATAATCCCTATATCTGGACTGATAGCCAGCCATATGCACTGTACTGCCAAACTGGTCATTAAAAAATTGAATCACTTTCTTATAACTTACACCAAACAGCTGTTGCCCTTAAAACCCCTCCTCTGCCCCCACCTTAGGTCCTGCCTTCACAGTTCACCTAGATTAGGTTCTGATTGGTTGGTTTCTAAGCCAGTCAGCATCAAAAGCTCCACCTCCTAGGCAGTCATTGGCTCCTCGCACTTCACTCAGATTTGGTTCTGATTGTTAAGTTTTTATTTCAGTCAGCATCTCCTGGCCTATCAGCAGGCCTGATCAGAGAGGCAAGGCTGATCAGCAGCCACAGCAGAGGTCAGAGAGAAAGAGAGGTGCAGCTGCTGGCCAGGCCCAGAGAGAAAGAGAAAGTCAAGGGCTAATCAACAGCTGCCACAGAGGCTACGGATCAAACCCTGCTTCTCTCTCCTCCGGCCTGATTCACAGCCCTCTCAGCAGTCAGTGGGCAGCCACGGCAACCCAGCACTGACTTGCAGTTGGTCAAGCTTTTGGTCGTTTTAGATGTTACAACCCTGGGTTTTTATATATTAGGATTATTTTAGTTCATTTTCCCAAACAACAAGTGAAAAAAACAGAAGTTAGATTATAGAAGTTAAGCAACTTGCTAATGTGTGATAGAGCTGAGGTTTGAGCCCCATAGCACCTTTTCAACATATGCCAGGCTTGCTAGGCACTTAGATTCAATAAGCCACAGTCCCAGCCTCCAAACTCAACTGGCTAATATCGAGTATTGGTCTACTTAGATTGCTGCAACAAAATACGACAGCCTGGTGGCTTCAACGACAGAAATGTATTTTTACAGCCCAAGATCAAGGTTTCAGCCAATTTGATTAATGGTGAGGGCTCTCTTCCTGGCTTCTCACAATGTCCTTCCAGGGCCTTTTCTCTGCTCGTATGGAGAGAGTTTTTTTGTGTCTCCTCAGCCACACTCAGGGTTAGGGGGGACACGTACATTCTGTCCATAACAGTCTATCTGTGCTACGACCTTGTCATTTGTGATCAGCACAGGCACATGGCATCAGTTAGTGGTAGAGTCTCTTACAGTTCAATTCCTACATGCATAGGAGGTCTCTTACTAGAAGTGAAGTGATTGCTTGAGCTTTAAGGAAAGACAAAAACAATATATTTGGAAATACATATTTACCCGTGTTATATTTGAAATCCTGTCATTTACAGTTAGTTAGCCTAGATTATTTCCTAGAGCAAAAGATCATATTTCTAGCAGCCTAGGTTCGTCAGCCCAATATTGCGATCACAAAATCCTAGAACGACACTTAGGCTCTTGTTTTATCAAGTGTCCTGGTAGTAAGTGGCAGGGAAGGGCGGCATGAAGATCACTTGTTCCAGGAAGTGAACTCATAGCTGAAGATGATCACACCTGTGCGCCGGACTCCATGCTGCTTCTGATTTAATCATCAAACATCCGTCTCAGAAACGGTCATTGTTTTCTGCCTGTCCCAGGATGAAACTGAATTCAGCAAACATTTTCAAGCATTTAGAAGAGGAGATGAATTTATAAGCAGATAATTTAACTGGGAAAATTACAAATTCAGAGAGATTGAAAGGTTTTTTTAGTTCTCCGAAAAAGGTAACTTTTCTCTAAAAGGACAAAAAGGACATAGGGCTCTGGCAGTTGTAAGACTATACTACAAGAAGTATCTGATAAAATTTTGACATAGACTGTAAGGGTAAACATAGATAATTACTTTATAACAGTCCTTTCTCTGATGCTTTTTTCATTTCTAAACCATCCTCTGCTAGTTTTAGAAAATTGTATTAATAAACAATTAAGGAACCTAGAGGTATGAATAAGTTTCCAAGCAGCCAGCCATTCTCTCCTATAAGAAAACTTTGAGCCAAAACCGGTTTGGCTCAGTGGATAGAGCGTCGGCCTGTGGACTGAAAGGTCCCAGGTTCGATTCCAGTCAAGGGCATGTACCTTGGTTTAGGGCACGTCCACAGTAGGAGATGTGCAAGAGACAGCTGATCGATGATTCTCTCATTGATGTTTCTAACTCTCTATCCCTCTCTGTAAAGATCAATAAAATATATATTTTTTTAAAGAAGAAAAAAAGAAAGAAAAGAAAACTTTGAAGTGTAATCAAAAAAGGAAAACTTGTCTGGAGAAGGGCTAAGGGCAGAATAGAAGTTGCTGACCGGGGTTCAGGTTTGGTAGGTGCCTTGGGGAAGATGGGTCTCAGTCTGGAACGGAGGCATCTAACACTCCTCCTTTTCCATGGCCCTCCTCCCTTTAAGTTGCATTGGCCACCTTATCCAAGCGTTGGCTGCAGCCCCAAAGCAGTTTGTATGGCATTGCCGTCCCCTCCCCCAGGCAAACAAAGATCTGAGTCACCCGGCTCCCTCTCCCAATAAAGGGCGCAGCGCCTCCAGAGCGACTGCCATAAGAGGAGCGTTCCTGTGTCTGGCGCAGGGGCGGCCCACGTCACCTCTCACACATGCGCCTCGCCTGCTTCCAAAGGAAACAAAAGCTCTACCCAGTGCACTTCAGGTGAAAGTCTGCTTACAGCTCAGTGTCTGTGACTGGCTGTTCCTGAGCAGCTATTCATGGGAGAAAACAGATTGATTTCCCCGGGGGGGGGGAGGGGGTAGTTAAGGTAATGAGCTCAATAATTGCCTCCTCGTTGGGGCTTTTACCAGCCAGAGGAGCAAGCAACCACAACTCCCCTTTGTCTGCTGTTTCTGCTGCCTCTAGCTGGTTTGCTTGTCAGCTGCCTGGGAGCTGTGCTGTGCTCCCCCTGGGGGATGGGAACTGGGGGTGCTGTGTGTGAGCGGCTGTGCCTCTGCAGGAATCTGGGGCCTGAGCCGCTTGTTATTCTGTAACGTAAAGGCTCAGCTGTTTGCCAGTGAGTCTTTGTCAGTGCTCTCTGTGGTGTCAGTCCATCTTTAAAGAATTCTTTTTTCTATTCCTCAAACACAAAGAACCAGTTAAAGCCCTAACCAGATAGTTAGGTACTTAAATTATAAACATAAAAGTATGTCTGGAACCTTGCAAGTATGTTTTGTGGTTGAAAATTAGAAGAATGCTGGTGACTACTCTTAGCTCTTAGCTCTGAGCCATGCATTTTTTTAAAATCTCATCTTCCCCCTCTTCATTCCCCTTATTTTAAAGAAATAACTGGCAAGCATCAACTTAATTTACCCCTATTCATCTGGAAACTGCTAAAAAAAAAAAAAAAAAAAAATGTTTATTGTAGTGATGACTCAGAGAATCCTGGGAGGCAGTGCGGGCTCGGCCATACTGGGCTCCTGTCTCTCAGCTGCAGTTGGCTTGCCTCTCATTGTTGTCGTTAATAACACATCTGTACATTTTCAGTATTTTACTTAATTACTAATCTGCCACAATGCTGACATGTTTCCCGAGTGGATTTTTCGAATGTCTCAGCAGAGCAGCAACTGACAGCTTCCTCTCGCTCTGACGTATAGGTCACTGGCTGTCTGCTGGACCCTGTGCCTCCGGTCCTGGCAAGGAAGGGGTGCCAGTCCCTGCCCAGCAGCATGATGGAGACCTCCATCGATGAAGGGCTGGAGACAGAGGGAGAGGCCGAGGAAGACCCCAGCCAGGCCTTCGACGCGTTCCAGTCCACACGCGGTGGGCAGCGACGGCACACTCTGTCCGAAGTGACCAATCAGCTGGTCCTGGTGCCGGGCTCAGGTATGCTGTCCACTGAGCTGCAGCCGAGTCTGCACACTGTCCGTCATAGTCCAGTCTCCACGAGGTAGTGATGGTACCCACCAGCTCCTAGGATGTGGTCCATAGTGAGCATTTCCCCATGGAAACCAGTCTGCTCTTTCCTTGTGGACAACACTCAGCAGCTGAGGGTAGGCCTGCTCTGCAGCTGCCGAGATGCAAATGGATCGCTTCTGAGCTGTCTCCTCACTCCCAGAATTCACCGAGTGCCAGGGACTCACCCAGGACCTGGCCTTAGGGGTGGCAGAGATCTGCAGGGCACAGGTTCTGGAGTGTTCGCCCCAAAAACTCAAAGCTGATTAAATTGACGTGGAAAATGGTTCTGGAAAAAATGTGCGGGTTGGAGATTAAGGACATTGTCACTGAGAGAGCTCAAACCGGCTGCACTTTGTGTCTCTTGGCCAAATAGCTCACTGTTTGCTATTCCTCATATCTGCTCTGTTTTCTCTTAAAGGGAAAGTTTTCTCCATGAGCGACAACCCTTCGCTTGACAGTGTGGACTCTGAGTATGACATGGGGTCTGTTCAGAGGGACCTGAGCTTCATGGAGGACAACCCTTCCCTTAAAGACATCATGTTAGCCAACCAGCCCTCACCTGGCATGGCCTCCCCCTTCATGAGCCTGAGGCCTGCCAACCCCGCCATGCAGGCCCTGGCCTCCCAGAGAAGAGAGGCCCACAACAGGTCGCCCGTGAGCTTCAGGGAGGGCCGCAGGGCCTCCGACACCTCCCTCACCCAAGGTAACCGCCCTCCCCTCCTGCCTCCTAAAGCCCTCAGCTGGTAGGATCTGAGGGTGGAGGCCATATTGGTATCACACTTGTCATCACTGAGAGGCCTGTGTTTTATTTAAACTTTGGTCATTGTGCTTTCTTCCAGGAATTGTAGCATTTAGACAGCACCTTCAGAATCTGGCTAGAACCAAAGGGATCCTAGAGTTGAACAAAGTGCAGCTGCTGTATGAACAGATGGGGCCTGAGGTCGACCCCAGCCTGGCGTCAGCTGCTCCTCAGCTCCAGGACCTGGCCGGCAGCCGCCCTCAGGTGAGTGCTCCGGCCCTTTCCGCAGCCGGCAGCGTGGCGAGTGCGAGGGGTGAGTGTGTCCTGAAGGTGTGTCACTCCGTTGGGAGGACTCGCTCCAGGCCGGGAGCAAACAGGATCTTTCGGAAAACTTTTCTTACTGCTGCACCTGCCGCTGACAGGTGAGGCCTTGAACTGCCAAGCTGTGTCTGGTGCCCGGGGCAGCTTGTATGTAAGTTACCTCTGATCGTCTCCCCCAGGTGGCACTAAAAACTTAGAATAATAAACTTTACCCAAATGAGAAGCTTACTACCACTACTTTTAATATGCCATCACTTCATTAAATATTACAGATGGATTCTTTGTGCTACAGATACAAAAAAAAAAATGCTATTGATCCAGTAAGTTTATTTTGAGCTATTGTTAGTGCGTCCAGGCTGCTCTAGCCTTCACGGCCCAGGAGGGTGATGGCCTGTATCCAGTGCTGACGAGGTGACCGCTCCCTGCAGGTCCATGGGCAGATTGTCTGTAAGTGACCAGCCCTCCACCTGCTGGCTGTGCGAACGCTGTGAGGGGCGTGTGTACGGTTGGAGTTCCTCTTGGGCATTTGCCAGGTGCTTAAACTAATAGCTGGAACTTTCTCCTGGAGAATTGAAAACGTGTCACCCTTGCTCCTCAGGAGGAAGCTGCCCAGCAGCCGGAAGGCGTTCCTGCACTTGCCACGAGCGTGCACCCGCCGCTGTCCCCGCGGCAGAGCCTGGAGGCCCAGTACCTGCAGCACAGGCTCCAGGTGGGTCTTCCCTGGCTGCCCAGCTGTGCTGGCCAGACCGCCTTCTGCACGGCGGGCATCTGTTTGGCTTGTTCAGGCCTTCGCTAGGGTGACGGCTTGATCCCTCACAGACAGGGGCCTGACAGTGCACTTCTAGTTTCTGGAAACACATTCAGACTTAGGTGATGCTCTGTGCTGGCTGTGGACTTGTCCTCAGACCCCCGCAAGACAACCCTCCACGAGTAATAACTAACACAGTGTCAGGAAGGGGAGCATGGCCTCTGCTCCTGGTGTGTGCCTCCTACTGAATAACTGGTAAAATGGAAATTTACCTCTGGCCTGAAAATCTCAAAAGATGAATCATTTGTTCATTCAGCTGGTGCTGCTGCCTTTGTCAGTGAGATTTAGCCCCATTTTTCTCGTTGTTTATAATCTCCATGAACCTCGCGATCCCAGGGGACTTGTAGGAATGGAAACTGAAGTAGAGTAGAGCTGAGACAGCCCAGGTCTGCTGACCCCAAGCCGCGGGCCCAGTGCTCTCCCAGGGTCCCAGTGAGCAAGTGTCGTCAGTCCCTTCTCCCGCGTGGTGTGGAGGACACGTTTGGTCCCCTCCAGGCGGCAGCCCGGTCTGCTGACCGCGTCCCAGACGGCAGCACATCGTCATGCTTGGGTTGTTTTCCGCTCTTCCAGAAGCCCAGCCTTCTGTCGAAAGCCCCGAACACCTGCCAGCTGTATTGTAAGGAGCCACCACGGAGCCTTGAACAGCAGCTGCAGGAACACAGGTGAGAGAGCGCCTTTGGCCAAAGAAGTCACTTTCTTTTGTGGGAGACTTAAGAATGCTGGGGCCTGGCCAAAACCGGTTTGGCTCAGTGGATAGAGCGTCAGTCTGCGGACTGAAGGGTCCCGGGTTCGATTCTGGTCAAGGGCATGTACCTTGGTTGTGGGCACATCCCCAGTAGGGAGTGTGCAAGAGGCAACTGGTCGATGTTTCTCTCTCATCGACGTTTCTAGCTCTCTATCCCTCTCCCTTCCTCTCTGTGAAAAATCAATAATAAATAAATAAATAAATAAATAAATAATAAAAAGGATGCTGGGGCCTGGCCAGCGTGGCTCAATGGTTAAGCATCAACCTATGAACCAGGAGGTCATGGTTTGATTCCCAGTCAGGGCACATGCCCGGGTTGTGGGCTCAGTCCCCAGTGGGGGCTTGAAAAAAGCAACCGATCAATGATTCTCTCTCATCATTGATGTTTCTCCATCTCCCTTCCTCTCTGAAATCAATTAAAGAAATAAAAATATTGCTGGGTGTATCCATTCAACCTGGTGTCGCCTCTACTAGGGAAATTGGTGGTTTTTAATTATTTTTAAATCCTCAGGTATGCTTTTAGAGAGGGGTAGGGGAGGAAGAGACAGAGAGAGATCAATCAGTTGCCTCCTGGAAGTGCCCTGACTGGGAATCAAACCCGCCACCTTTTGGTGTTCAGGATGATGTGCCAACCGAGCCACCTGGCCAGGGAGGAAAATGGGTTTGAGGCATGAGCCAGAGTCCCAGATGTGACGGCTACCTCGCTGTGAGCCTGCGGGGAACAGCAGCCCTAAATGTGCTGTTTTCCCTTCAGTCTCACATCCTCCCTTGCAGTAATTCCTGCCCCTGGCCTCACCAGCAGGAGCAGTGGTGGCCAAGGAGGCGTGGCCCTGCTCCATCAGCCAAAGGCCACAGGGAGGCCAGGGATCACACACACACCCCACCCCCTTTGACATTGCAGCTGGGAAGTCAGCCTCTCACTTCATAGGGAGAAAAACGTCAGGGTCTTAGAGAAAATGAGTTAGTGTTTACTGTCACCCTGAGGTCAGTCGCAATTGGGGGACAAAAAGTAAGATTAGGTTTAAGAAAAGCGACACTTTTTGCTTCTACCCCCACTTCTTTTCTGCCATGGAAAGAGAAGTGAGCGGCTGAGCTGGTGGCTGACGCTGCCTGGCATTGACATTGCTGACACTGAGGAAGACTGACCATGCTTTCTCTGGGTTTGCCATTGTAGACTCCAGCAGAAGCGGCTCTTCCTCCAGAAGCAGTCTCAGCTGCAGGCGTACTTCAACCAGATGCAGATAGCGGAGAGCTCCTATCCACAGCCTCACCAGGAGGCCCCATCGCCGCCGCCGCAGCCGCCACCCTTCAGCCTGGCGCAGCCCCTGAGCCCCGTCCTGGCGGCCTCTGAGCAGATGCAGTACAGCCCCTTCCTGGGCCAGTACCCCGAGATGCCGCTGCGGCCCCTGCCCTCCGCGCCCGGCCCTCAGGGCCACCTGCAGCAGCCGCCCCCGCCACCCCCGCCACCCCCGCCACCCCCGCAGCAGCCGGGGGCCGCCCCCGCGGCCTTACCCTTCTCCTACCAGACTTGCGAGCTGCCGGGCGCCGTCTCGCCTGAGCCGGACTACCCCGCTCCCGGCCAGTACCCCCTGGACGGAGCCCAGCTGGGCGGCGGGGCAGCGCCGGACTGTCCCCGGGGCTCGGGGCTGCCGGGCGACCCCTCCAGCTACGACCCGCTCGCCCTCTCCGAGTTCCCCGGACTCTTCGACTGTGAGATGCTGGAGGCCGTGGACCCGCAGCACAATGGCTATGTCCTGGTGAACTAGCCCGGCCAGGAGGTGGGACCGTCCGTGCAGGAAGCACGTGTGTTTTATCTCTATGTCAGCCTCTACAGTTAAAGCTTATTTCCCGTCCTCTCCCGGAACGGAGGACCAACTCGCCCAACTGGAATCGGAGGGCCCGGCTCGTCCCTCTCGGCTTCCTGTGGCCCACGCTGGCACACGGCTGGCCGGGCGGAGCAAGCCTCCCGGAGACGCCGCCAGATGTTTCTCTGAGACATCAAACCTAGTTTTACACTGAGCTACCCAGGCATCCGGGGACGGTGAGCACAGGAGCGTGGGCCACTGTGGAGGGAAGGGGCAGTTTTTCCCTGAGGCCCAGGAGCAGCTGCTGAAGGCACACAGGAGACATAGGAATGTGACGTGTGGACTAAGGGAAAGCGGAGGTGCTGAGCTGCTGGTGCACGCTGTCCCCAAGGTCATCACCGAGCATCGAGGGAGAGCTGTTTCGGGGCCACTGAAGACCAGCTGGCACTAAGCCCCCGGCGTCTCCCGGAGCAGCGCCTCTTCAGAAGGCAGAGGGCGCCGGAGATGTCGCCTGGGGGACCATAGGACCCACCACGGCGGAGCTGGGCGAGGACCCGGAGGAGCCATCGGAGCAGGGCCAGGCCAGGAAGGCGGGCCGCCCGCAGATCTGTGCGGACTTCTGGGCGGGCAGTCGGCCTTTCGGGGAGGGAGATGGGGACACCGTGTCTCTTCAAATGTAGTAACTACTCAGACTTCACACTATATTATATGTTGCTAGTCTCCTGAGCTCTGTATATTCGGACAGGTTCACAGAGGACTAAGAAGTTTAAGAACGAGAGTGAACTTTTCTCTCCCATGTGAAGTGGTAGTGCCGTGCCTTTTCCCGGATCATGCTTTAATTATTTCTTTCTGTAGAAACCAAGTTTCCATCCGTGTCAATGCTAAATCCAAAGTCACTTCAGTTTGTTTTCCACTGTGTGGGAATCGCATTCTTCATTTCCTTACGGTCTGACTTGTAATGAAACGTTAGAGTATTACAGCAATATTCAAACCGCAGATGTGTCAGCCACGGAAGCAAATCATCTGCCAAACTCACTGTATTACTAGTAAAACTTAACCCTCACAGTTAATTCATCAAAATAAGTAAGAAATAGATGCTACAGCCACTAACCGTGTAACGAGTCACCTGTCATTCGGGCAGTAACATCCGTGCGTCACCAGTTCAGTGTTATTTACGGACTCGCTGCCATCCTGTCAGCAGGTGAACACACCGGGCACAGGCCTGTTCCCTCAGCACCGCGCAGAGCGCCACCTGAGTGGACAGGACACCTCCGCGTTCAGTCGCCTTCCCTCTTCGCAGTGAGTTCCCAGCAGGTGAGGAGGAGCCGGAAGGTCTGAGTCCGCTATGTCTGACTCAGCCCCTCCCGGCTGGTACCGAGCAGCTATGTTCCTGGCTCCCCGGGGCCTGGGCTGAGCGTGGGCCCGGGGTGTGGGGCCCTGGGCGTGGGGAGAGCGGGGCCGGCCAGGACGGCTGCGGGGAGGGAGGGCGGTCATTCTGGGAGAACACACAGTGGAAAGGGAAGGACGAATGAAGTTCTGATGGTTTACCCTGCCTCGTGCTTAAGATTGATGATTTGGTGAAATATCATTACATTTAAGAGATCCTTCTGTTAAGGTCTCTAATCTGTTGTAAGTCTTTGTAAAATATGCCAATTATAAAACAGGGCTTAATTTGTTTAGACTGAAAGAAGTTTTCCCAAAATTACTACCGAAGTGCTGTCATGTTTATGAAACTGACATCCTTCCATACTGAACTCGGGGCTGCTCATTTCAGTCGCAGAAACAGCTGCCCCAGCAAGGCCAGGAGCCTGTCAGCCAGGACACCCAGGCTGCGCCAGGCAACCAGGCCGACGGGGGCGGGCAGGGGGGCAGCCGAGAGGCCGATGGAAACCGAGGGACCCAGAGACAGAGCCCGCAAGCACCCTGAGCTGGCCTGCTGGCCTCAGTGTAAGTTCCTGCTGTTCTCGTGTATTTCAGCAGAAGTCAGTCCGTTTCGTAGCCTCTGTGCTCAGTGAACCAAGCTGGGGGACTGAGTCTGGGCCGGTCAGTGTTTCCCAGCCACCTGCTCTCTGCGCTCCTCAGCGGTGATGGGTGAGCGCCAGCAGAGCGCCCCTCAGGCACCCCGGCCTGGGAAGGCTCCTCCCTGCGCCCGCTGCCCCAGCAGCTGCCCTATTGGCGGGGCATCGTTGGCTTTGTTGGCCTGTGAACCCCGCCCGCTCCTCTGAAGAGACTTAGGGAGATGAACATGAGGTAAAAATTTCATTCAGCAAACAGTGCAATATGTGTGGTACTTTATTTTTTGTTTTTGTCCCTTTTTTAATCCAGGTTTAGTCTCTATTTGGGGAAAATGCACTAATTCTGCAATGTCCAGTTGGCAAGAACGTCTCTAGTTCATACATGCAGCTGACATGCAGGCTCAGCAAGGCAGACAGAGCGTGTCCCACACAGTGCGTGCTCCCTGGCAGAGCCCCTCGCCGCCTCGGCCTCCAGGCCTCTGCCCTCGTGCTGCCGGGGAGCAGGGTCTCCTCACCAGCCTAGAGCATCTCTTCATGAGAAGCATCTGGAGGAGAGCTAGGAAGAGCGGGCTAACGGGTCTGTTCTTATGTGAACAAAACCCCTTCCTTTCTGAATCCGCTGCCTCCGGGAAAGGAAGTGAGGAGCTGAGTGGGCAAGCCCAGGCCTGAGCTGGCTGGTGGGGGCCCGGTGCCCTCCAACACCGGCCTCGGCCACACTGCGATCCGTGCCTGAAAGCAGGCGCCCAGAGGAAAGTCTGCCATTGGGTTGGCAGGAGGGTGTATTCTCGGCTGGAGAGTGACTGGGTGGCCCAGCAGGTAGAGAGAAGTGAGCAGCGGCAGCCTCCGTGCCGGGTGGCCAGGGGTCCGGGTGTGCGGTACCGGAGCAGCCCCTGCTTAGGGGCAGGCTGTTCAGACACAGGGACGTGGTGAGATGTGTGGCTTCTCGCCCCATGTCCTTTCCCTTCAGCAACAACAGCCCGTGCACCAAGCCCCAGTGGGCTAAGCACTGGGTGAGAGTGACATCTTCCCTCGCCCGGTCCTCCCCTCCACAGCGGCCTGGCTGGAGGGAGAGGGCCCTCCGGGCAGTCCTCTGAGCAAGGCTGAGAGAGTGGCCCCCACGGATCTGCCTGCAGCCCTGCTAGCTAACGACACAAGTGCAGGGGCACGTTAAAGACGCTGGTTTCTCCCGGTTACACCGAACGGCCATCCCCACAGAAGTATGCGCGGGGAGGACACCTCTTCCTCGATGGCCAAGGGGCCAGATGGCACAGCGCAGCCGCCCTGCCGGCCAGCAGACTCAGCCCAGGAACCTGACCTCCCGGGGCCCCAGGAGGGCCGCACTGCTTACGGTTAAGTAACATCAAGTAAAGGTGCTGATTAGACACTTTTAAGATTAAAGAAAATAACACACTTTGATACTTTGTCTTTTCAGAAGCAACGTGGGTAGGTAGAGGTGAGCTTTAAAAATAAAATGGCCTGGCCAGTGTGGCTGGATCCCCGGTTTGGCAGGTGCAGGAGGCAGCTAATCAATGGTTCTCTCTCATCATTGATGTTGCTCTAGCTCTCCCTTCCTCTCTCAGATCAATTCAAAAAAATAAAAATAGGAGAATAGCATCCCAGGAAATGTGACCGCATATTGGAATGACGTTCACATCCACAAATACCGATCGCGGGCTGGGGTGCCCATCCAGCCAGACTTTCTCAATCAGGGAAATGGGGGTGGTGACACCTGCCCACCGCTGATGGCAAGAGAAATCGCCTCCACCAAAATCCCTGAAGGGAAAGTGGATAGGAAAGGAGGTTGGCTTCCTTTGGGGGCTGCAATTTCAGAAATAAAAGTCATACAGAGATAATTGCACTTTGTGGGCAGGGCAGCACGATTCACTTATTTCCGAGGGAGGTTTGGTCTGTGAGTAATTTTGATAAAATTAATCTAATTGTAGTTATTTTTAATGTGTGATTTTTTAAAATGACTAAGGAATAAATGGTGAGTTCAACAGCTTTGGTATTTTGAGTGCAAATCATAATAGCTTCAATGTGAAAAAGTTTCAAAAAAAATGTAACTGTCACTCAATGTTAGAAAATAGCCTAAAATGCAGTTTAATAAATGATCTTTGTATCAAACATTAATTTAAACGGGGTAATTTTCTGCAAGAAAAAAAATACAGTTTTTAACATTTCCAACACTCTTGAATAAAAACAACTTGTTTCCTAAGAGCCTGGATGGTGAGTGTCAGGCGAGGGAGCTAGGACTTCACCCGTCAGCCTGGGGTGGGTTTTCTGAGCGTGCAGGCGGCCGTGTGCCCTGACCTCTGGTGCTCATTTCAGGCTGCAGCGAAAGACACGGATAGTATGTTCTCATTGACGTCAGCGGGTAAGTAATACCGGGCTCTGCCGCGGCCCACGCACACGCCTGCCGCTGCAGAGCGCTGACAGCGAGCTGACCGCAGCCTGCAGGCGGATGGACAGGCACAGTGGGGCCTGGGGCTCTGACGGACTCAGAGGTAGCCTGGGAGGGCCATGCAGCCGGACAAGCAAGCTGCAGGGCCAGGACTGGGGACAGAGGGACAGCAAGACCATTAACTCATGACGGCAGATCTGTGTCTGGGCCTGCAAAAGGCCTCCACTCAGACACTGGACGTCACCCGGGGACAGGCACCTGCTCGGTGCCCTCAGGTGCTGGAAGAATCTATCTGCCAAGGCATTTGAAGCCACTCATACGCTCAGGACTTGGTTTAGTGCCAGACCCCGAGGGAAAGGGCAGTATTAAGTCCTACCTTCTGACAGCAGATTCAATTGAGATTTGGTTTCGCTCAGGCCATTCCAGTTGAACGCACACTATAGAACTGAGTTTCCAAACCAGGGTCACCTGCCGGCTGCGGGTGGGGCAGAAGGGGAGCCAAGCCGTCTCCGTGGACTTGTTCTGTGGCCTAGCGCTGCTCACAGGCGGGCTACACTGCCCTCAGACGGCTGTTACCCAAGAATTCAGTGAATTTCAAGGGCACTCCTATTTTTTAAGAAAAGCACTCGATTTCAGTAATGGTGTTTTGCAAACGTTCCCCTTTCCCACCGAATTTCTCCATCATCTCTGTGTTGCCAAAAACAACCCTAGGGTGCAGGGTACGGACCAAAACAACAGGCCTGCCAGCAGAGACCGGCCAGAACGTCAGCAGCCATCAGGCCCGTCCTCCCCTGCCCCAGAACCGCACTGCAGCCCCAGGGTCTCCAGGAGCCAGAGGCTCTGCGCGGAGTGGGGAGGGGCTGGCTGGAGGCCTGGCGCCGATGGTGCCCACACCTCCAAAGGGAGGCAGCACAGTGCCCCTCCGAGCCAGGCAGGTGGCAGCAGGGCCCCGGCCTCTGTTGGCCATCTGCTCTTCTCCACCCCATTAGGGTTTCCAAGTGTGTGTTTTATTATTGTTTTGTTTTGGATTTTTTTTTTTCCTAATATGTTTTATTGATTTCAGAGAGGATGGGAGAGGGAGGGAGAGAGAGATACAAACATCAATGATGAGAGAGAATCATTGATCGGCTGCCTCCTGCACACCCCCTACTGGGGATCAAGCCCACATGTGCCTTTGATCAGAATTGAACCGGGGACCCTTCAGTCCACAGGCTGCACCTCTATCCACTGAGCCAAACAGTGAGGGCACCTGATTTTATTACTATTATTATTGATTTGTGAAAGAGAGGGAATGGGAAAGGACCATCGGGGTTTGCTGTTCCCTTTATTTCCGCACTCATTGGTTGTATGTGCCTGACCAGGGATTGAACCACACCCTTGGAGTGTTGAGCTAATGCTCTAACCAACTGACCTACTCAGCCAGGACACACTATTAGTTCTTAAATTGAGGTTTCACAGAAGCTTTGGTGGAAGCTTTGGCCCCTCTTCCCAAGAAACAGGCATATAGACGCAACTTTGGACAGATATTTTCAGGGGAGGAGTTGATTCCTGCTCCCATCAGGCCCCTTCATGGTCCCCAAGTTATGGTGTCTTCAACCCCTGACTTAGAAGAACACCAGTGTCTCCACCTGCAGCCCCACACCCTTTTCCATTACTGGGTTCTTGGCGGGCCCTCCCCGCTAAGTGTGCCAGCCTCCCAGGGGCCCAGGTGAGGGAGGGAGGCCCCTGCTCTGCTCGCAGCCCCAGGACACCGTGGAGGAGTCCTGAGCTTTGTGCATGGAGCTAGGTGCCACGTGGCTGCCAAGTCAGTCACCTGCGCAGGCTGCAGCTGCTCTGCCCTTCCCGTTCCAGCCCCAGCCAATGACGGCACTTCACAGCCATGACCAGGCTGAGCAGCTCTGAAGGGGGTGACTGTGCAGGGCTCATACTTTGCAGTGGCCCTTGGGAAACCGATGTGAGTCATGACTGAAGTGAAGGCACTGGCCCCTCATCTCAGACACTAGCCATCACCGGCCTATCTGCCCACACCCAGATGGGAAGCTACAACCACAGATCGCTTAGGCCAACCCCGAAAGCCTGGCCAGGCAGAGGGAAGCTTGCTACGTGCCTCCAGCCACTCAGCACTCGCTCCTCCTGCCACTATGCCCCAGCCCACCAGGCAGGGAACTCCTGGGCCCACCAGGCAGCTGCAAATCCCCCTCGGCAGTGTCAACACCGCCCTTTGTCTACGTTTCCAGGGGACTTTCCTGGGCGAGCCTGACTCAGCGGGTCTGAACTGGGCAGAGTGGGTGCAGGGCTGAACCACCAAGCAAGGCGCCAGGATAGGGGAAGGGAGGAGGACACAGCACCCTGGGAAGCAGCTCCCCTGCCTGCAGCTGTCCCCGAGAGCTGGCCTGGCAGAACCTCAGAAAACCCGGCCCACAGTGAGGCACTGGGGAGTCAGCCTCTCGGAGGGAGGAGGGAGTCACTCAACACAGCAGGCAGGCTTTGACAGCTTCTGACTCCATCTCGCTAATTCCCCAAAGAAAAGGGGGGCTGATGGGGCCAGAGATGCCTAGGGGAGGCCTGAGGAAGCCGGCGCTCAGGAGTAAGTCCTTGACCAGGTCGGGGCCAGCAGCACAGCTGGGGTGCGGGATGCAGCCGAGCTAAGGAAGGCCCAGCACCCTGGCAGAGATGCCCAGAGGAGGACCCCGAGTTCACAGCCCTGGCCTGCTCCAGGCTGGGACTACTGTAATAGATCTGCCTTCTGGTCCCTGTGCCAGCAGTGAGGGCCGGTGGAGGGGCCCAGGAATGAAAGGGCGGGGCAAGGAGGGCCTAGAACTGGGCCCAGCTTCCCCAGCGCAGCCCCTGGAGCAGCCACCTGGCCAGAAAGTGCCTCCAGGGAGGGTGGTGCCTACCCATTCTCAGTCAGGCACAGGCCTAGGCAGTGAAGAACCTCTGAGTCCTCAGCCTCTGGCACCTCTCCCAGCCCTGCCACTCACCTGGGCAAATCACTGCAGAGCCTCGCTACCCCCCCAGTAACTTGGAGACAGCCTGGCTGACTTAACCCCAGGTTTACCCTAAGGTTCAAATGCAGCTGGCACAGCACACTTCTAAACAGACAGGGCTGGAGCCCAGCACCGTGATGGCCACAGCCTCAGTCCTGCCGGCCTGCCTTCCTGCAACCTTAACTGCTCCAACCCTGGGCAGCGCCTGCTGCTTGGCGCCTGCGAATCTCCTCTCTCATTAAGAGTGGCCGTCCTGCCGGGACCGGTTTGGCTCAGTGGATAGAGCGTCGGCCTGTGGACTGAAAGGTCCCGGGTTCGATTCCGGGCAAGGGCATGTACCTTGGTTGCGGGCACATCCCCAGTAGGGGGTGTGCAAGAGGCAGCTGATCATTGATTCTCTCTCATCGATGTTTCTGACTCTATCCCTCTCTCTTCCTCTCTGTGAAAAATCAATAAAATATATTTTTTTTAAAAAGAGTGGCTGTCCTAAACCGATTTGGCTCAGTGAAAGGTCCCGGGTTCGATTCCGGGCAAGGGCATGTACCTTGATTGCGGGCACATCCCCAGTAGGGGGTGTGCAAGAGGCAGCTGATCTGTTTCTCTCTCATCGATGTTTCTAACTCTCTATCCCTCTCTCTTCTTCTCTGTAAAAACTCAATAAAATATGTGTGTGTGTTTTTTGTTTTTTTTTTAAAAAAAAGAGCGGCCGTCCTAGCCTGAGCCCAGCTCCAGGTTAAGGACCAAGAACTTTGCCTGAGATTTCTTCATTTCCGGTGACGAGTTCTGGGCAGCACTAGCCATGGGCACCTAGAAAGAGACCTTGTTCACGAGCCTCCAGCTTTCCGGCCAAGCTCCCGGGTGAGGGGTGAGAGGGCCTGGGGGGCCTCTCTCTGCCCAGTGGGTGGAGGTGGAGCCCGGGGCACGGCTCCAGCTGGCCGTGGTGCCAGCCTCACCTCCCTGGGCTCTGACACATTGTCAGGCCTCCGTTCGCTTGGACTCAGGTCGCCTGGAGCCTTTCTGGGTTCAGAGAACTAATCCTCCGGCCCTGCCACAGCCGAGCTCCTTGGAACTGCCCGCGAGACCCTCGGGCAGCACCTGGCCCCACCGCTCTCAGAGAGACAAGGAAAGGACAAGCAGTTGTCCTCCCCACAAAGCTGGTTCCAGCAGAATCTCTCCCCCCTGTCGTCCCCCGCCCCCCCTCAAAGCTGCTGGAGCCGCCTTGCTCAGCAAGCGCTGGCCTAGAGACAGAGGACAGACAGATGCCAGGAGGCAGAGGCCAGCAGTCCCATGAGCCGCAGAGATTTTCTGAGTTTGGGGGAAATGAGGGAAACTGGAAAAATCGGAAGTAGAAACAAGGGTAGAAGAGCGAGGTGTGCAGAAGGCAAGAGCTCCGTGGAGACTCGGGGTGCAGGGCCGGGCCGGCCAGGGTCTGTTCGGACACTTCCCGATGGAGAAGAGGAGGAGGAGGGTGGACTCGGACGTGGGCCTGTGCCCATTACTTATGGGCGTGTCACTGGAGATCCGTCTCCAAACCTGGGCTCGGCCTGAAGACTGAATGTCCCTCGCAGCTGCTCCTTCCTGCAATAACAAGACTGACATCACCGTTGTCAGGGAAATGGTGTTTTGATTAAAATCATGTGACAGCTATTTCGCGATTCAATAAACAAATTGTCTGTTAACCCTCCTGTCAGAGCCCCCGGCAGCTGCCATCAGGGAGCAGCCTGCGGGCTGTCCGGGGGCAGCCCCACCTGGCCTGGCAGGACAGACAAGGGGTGCGAGGTGCCACAGTGCCCGGCGGGTCCTGCTGGGGAGACACGTGCCCCATCAGAGCACAGCTGGCTCTGCAGACCCTGAGGCCCAGCCTCCGAGGGGCCTTTCACCAAAGGAACTGGCCCGCCCCATCGGGCCATTCACTCCTGGACCAGGAGGCGGGTCCGAGCCCCGGGAGGAGGATGGCTCCCCGTGGGCCCAGCCAGCCAGGACCTGGGGAGAGCTGCCAGGGTTCTGAGCAGCCAGCGTTCACTGAGCCCTTTTGGGCGAGTTTGCTGTACACCCGGACAGGGAGGGAGGGAGGGAGCGAGTGAGCGAGGGGTTAAGAACAATTTCTGGCTTGTAATTGGATGACTTCCTGGATCACTCACTTGGCTGCTGGCCCCTGACATGCCTGGCAACAGCTAACACCCTTTCTGTCTCCCCGAGTCACTTTCTCTAAGTGAGACAAGTGGAGGGAGGCTCCCCGTGTGGTGGAGCAGGGCCTTCTGGGCTGAATGGACGGCACACTCATCGGCCTGGCACTGCCTGGCACTGCCCTCCCCCTCCCCCAGAGGACAGGATGGGGCTGGGGGAGGGGCTGGCACTGCACATGTGCACAACCACTAACCTGACAACTGGTGCTGCCAGCACCTGCGCCTGGAGTGGTGAGAAGTAGGTGGGACTGTGCCATGCGCTTGACAAGGTGCCTGCACACAGTTCTGGAGGCTCCAGGCGTGGCTGCTAACACTCTCCCTACAGCTCGTGGCTCTCCCAGGGCCACCTACAGACCTGAGCAAGCCGGCCAGGCCATGCTCAGATCCGGGGCAGACCCCACAGTGAATGCCATGGCCAGCTAACCCCGCGTTTGTAGGAAAACATAGCTCCTTTCTTAAATCTGTGGTTTAGACCTAAAAACTATTATTCCTGCGCCTTCCACCAATGTGTCTCCCCAAAGGCCAGCTCCGCGACTAAAGAAGGCCGACCCCCTCAGGCTCCTGTCGGCCAGGGGCGGCTGCGGCTGAGGGGGTCACCCCGCACTTCCTCCCTGGCCGGCGGGAGGGCCTGGCAGGGACGCCCAGCCCCGGGCCTGGGCCGGTGGGGGCACCACCACAGAAGCGGACACTCAGGTGGAGCACAGCAGCTCCGAGCCTGGACAGCGGGAGCGTCCTCACGGCCTCCGTTTGCACAAAGTAAAGCCATGGAGGTTTGGAAGGCGAACTCTTTGAGGTTAAAATCGCCACCAAGCAAGCTGCCTGGACTGTGAGATGCCAGTCATGTTCCCCGTCAGCTGAGCGCAGCCTGGCTTACCGAGGGCAGCGAGCCCTCCGGCCGCTCTCCGAACCCGCCTGTCTTACCTGCTCTCCTAACCAGCAGCCAGGGCAGTGGCCGCACCGACGTTGACTGCTGAACACTCACTCCTCCGGGCCATCACACGGGCTTGTCCCACATCCCCCCGTCACACAGGAGATGGACAGGATGGTGTTTTCCTTGAGTGGACGTTACTACCCCAGAGGAGCCGCAGCAAATAGGGACGGTCTCTGTTCTGTGAGGTAAGTGGGAGTAGCCATCTCCATAAGCAACTCGACCAAACCACCGCTCCGGCCTCTGCACGGGCCTCGCTTGTGCTGACCAGGTGGGGAGGGAAGCCCCCGGAGCGAGCTGAGTCCACGCCATCCCTCAGAAAGCACGCCCAGAAGCAAGGACAAGAAACAGGGCAGCAGGCTTAAAACACAGGGGAGGCAAAAGTAGGCTTGCAGTCGTGAGTACATGAAACAGTTTATTCTTATACAGGAGAGGGTTGTCCCTCAGCCCATCCTGTACCCTCTTGCAATCCGAGACCCCTTGGGTAGGGTCCTGAACCCTGGCCGGCAAACAGGGCCTGATTGGGCTTTCCTTCCCTTAGCTGGCAGCAGCTGGCCCCGCCCCCGCCTCTGCCACTGCCTGCCATCTGTGTGGGGCTCAGTCCCCCCCCCCCCCCCCCCCCCCGGGCTCCCCCCAGCCATTGGTCGCCTCCTCTGCAGATGACAGCCATGGGGTGCATCGCTGGGGCTTCCCTCTGCAGGGTGTTCGCTGGCCAGTGGCCTGAGCCTCCCTCTGTGAGGTGATCAACTGCGGGGGGAGGGGAGGGGTGTTCAATCGCCTCACAGAGGGAAGCCGCCCACCTGCCGAAGCACCGCCAGCCTGGTGGCTTGGGCCTCCCCCTGTGGGGCGATCGTGGGGTGACGGTGGGAAGCCCCCCAACCAATCACATGGCACACACCTTGGCTGGCTTGGTGCCAGTGCGTGTCATAGCGTGGTGGTTCTGCTATCCTGTCAATTTGCATATTACTTTTATTATTATTGATGGTATTTTCCATACAAACAACAGTACACCTACTCTTGCCCCAAAAAAACGTTGCTCTCCTCCGGGACGGCGTTCTCCCCTGCTGCCCTCCACCCACACCTATCAGTAAGCCCCTGGGAGGTTTTAGTCTGTGTGCTCACCTTCCTGGTGTCCTCTCCAGGCCCCCAGGTCTCAGGAAGTCCTTGTCACTCCTTCACGGGGAAATCTGGCTTCCTCAGCCTGTGGGCCACCACTAGAGACAGACAGCGGCACGGAAACTGTCCCTGGGCAGGCGAGTCCCGCTTATGCCCAGTGCTTCCCGGACGGATACCCTCCATGGCTCTGGGGTGGCAGTGGGGGCACATGGCCTCTGTGCGGAGGTGGGCTGACCACAGGACCTCATGAAGGTGCTTTTCCTCCAGAGGCGCCAAGAGCCACCCCCCGCCTCATGGTAGCCGGGACACCCCCCGCTCCGTACTGCCGGCCTCCAGGGCCCAACCAGACAAGCGCTGGCTCCACTGAGGACTGACAGCACCGGTCAGAAGGCTCTGCAGAAAGACACCGCTTGGCTTTCCTACCCAATGAGGAACCAGCTCCCATACTCCACATTTCCCTCAGCTGAACACTGTGTCATTTCCTGGACACAGCAGGCTCATGGGAGGACAGAGGGGCTATTTTGGGTACAAAAAAAAGACTGGAGACTCGTGAGTGAACAGGAGAGAGGCGCAAGGAACTGGCTGGAAACAGGAGAATCCGAGGGAACCATTACTTAAGAGCAGACCAGTCACTAGACCTGCTAACAAGCTATTCCTCTCGCTTGTGTCACACCCAAGCAGCCAACAGGAGGCTGTAAGCCAGGAGCTTCAAAATGAAGAGGTCAGAGGAACTGAAGTTAAAGGCAAAGGGTAGGACAAGCACCCAACTTGTTGTGGCCACCGGGCCTGCCCTCTGGGGCTTCCACAGAAAAGCACATCGCGGCCACAAATGCCTGGAGAGCATTCCCACAGCTGATGGCGGGGCCAGGGACATTCTCTTCCCCTGGAGCTCTGTGCTCTATCCGGAAGGCCTGACAGCTCAGGTTACAGTGCTGCCTACTTTGAATCAGGACAAGTTGTCCAGCAAAGACCCCAAGGCCATGCATCACAGTGGTCAAGCAGTGGTCGTTCCATGAGCTGAGGGCTATGTCAGCAAGGCCTTGTCAGAACCCACACATGAACCAGCTTATTCTCATGACCACCTCACATCTTCAGGTTCACGCGCACTCGGCAGCACAGAGTAAGGTTTGGTCTCTCCAATCTGTGAGGAGTGAACCCACACAAACGGGAGAAACACTGTAGTCAATTCCATTGTTTGAGGAGATATTTTTATCTATGTAGGTTTGTATGTTTGTCTCTACTTCCCTTTCCTAATGGACCAAACAACTGACATGAACTGCCTGGGATGAAAAAATTACAATGTTGGAGGCGACTGCACCCGTCCAAATGGAACTGCTGCCTAAGACAGGGGACTGGAGAAGGGTCACAGAAAGCTAGCTTCTTTAAGAGCAGTAAGGCCTGTTCATTTGCCAATGGGAGAATGAGATGCAGTCTGGTACCTGTGATGATTTGTTCCACAAATACAACACATTAGAGGACAGATTTTAAAAATTCACTGAACACATCTTTATTGAGTACCTACTATGTAGACCAGATACTGATCGGGGTGCTGGCGATACAGCAGACAAAAATCCCTGCCCTTTCTGAGCTCCTGGAGCTTACATCATAGTGAAAGCAAGATAACCTGTGGAGAAAATGACCAAGTTAGCAAAAAAAAAAAAAAAAAAAAAAAAAAAAAAAAAAAGACGACTTTGAGCAATAACAAAAGGGATTGCCTACCGATTAAGTCAGAAAGACACAGTGAAGCCCCTGAGAAGGTATCTGAAAGGCCGGGCCCTCTGAGCTCCCTGACCCCGTCTGAAAAGGCCAAGGGCTCCCCTGTGCTGTAGCCCAGGGGAGGTCACTGCACAGAACTCCCCGGGGCACACAGGGCATTTAAAAGTCTATCCCAAACCAGGGACATTTCCAACCAACCAGTATTCCCAACCAGAGAATAAAACAACAGTTTTACAAATTTGTTTCAAGAATGAAGACAACAGCCTCTGAAAAATGAAATTCAGTGAAGAATAAACATAACCTACAGTTAATAATAACAAAAAGAACCATGAAACTAAAATTAAAATGTTCACAACATAATAGTTTAAGATATAAAATGAGACTGTATAAAAGATTTTTGCTTAGGAAAAATATTTAATTCTTAGCCCAAAAAGTAATAAAATAGAAAGTTACTATAAGGTAATTTGACAATTTTAAATGCAGGCAATTTCTGATTCAAAATGTTCTGTTTTTCTATGATAAGACAAACTTGAAAGTAATTCGCTCAAATTTGGTTTTCAAAACTCAAAATAGGATGCACTGGGTTTAGAAGAGGTTGTGAATAAAAGAAATAATTCCAAAACCAAAATCGAACAAGCAAACTACCTAGCAAGATGCACTGAGAAAAATAAACTACAATAAAACCTCATTAGCATTCATCAGGGACAAGGTGAGTCTGAATAGGTGACAATGTAAATAAATTTATATGGAATATACTTAAATTCTCCATGAAATACAAACATATATATTTCAGGGATAAAGAGTAAATTAAATGTATTCAAAAAAAGTGGGGGTTCATAAAAATCCTCATGAAAAGTATTTTAATGTAATTGAAAAGTGATAAGTAATCGGTATACTAAAAGGGTATTTTTTAGAGAGAGTTTCAAAATAGTTTTAGTTCAGATCCAACAGACTACCTTACAAACTATTAATTTGCTCCAGGAAACCCTTCCTTTAGCTTAACTAGTTACCTTAAGTTCTAGGAAAAATTAATGAGGTTTTACTTTAAAAGCAGAAAAACAAAGTTTTTCAAATGATTATTCCAGCATCATCCATACCAAAAAAGTAGTAATGAAATTTAATTTGGAAAGCCATAGCAAGGACCAGATGTTAATTCTAGCTGGAAGCAGAATGAGGTTAAGTGCAGGAAGTCCTCCCAGTATTATACCAGTCATTCCTTTTCCCATTAGCATTTCAAAACTGCAACCCTACGACGACACGGTAGAACTACTGCTTATTTGGAGGCACTAAACTTTAAGTTTCTCAGCAGGAGAGAGAGAAGTATTTTGAACACAGTGGTATAAGCTGTGGAAATTCAGGTAAGTTTTAACATCACACATTAGTGGCAACACATCTATCTGCACATCAGGTTTCTGAGTGACATGATTACAGTTAAAATAAGGCAAGGAAAAACCAAAACAAACACCACACGAACTCTGAGCTTCCACATTCCCCTTTCGTGTAAGACACTGACGCGGACCATCATTATCCAGGAAAATGTGGCTTTCACTAGTTAAATCTAGATGTGTCTCCCAAACAGAGGGTTTATAACATGTTATTCTAAACCATGTACATTTAACTGTGGAATGCTGGACAAACATGCAGATGTAAGTAGACGCCAAGAGAATCACTCCATTGCATGTCTGGGTTCGAACCCAGCCAGCCCTGGTCAGATGGTTGAGTGGCCGGGCCTGATGGGATGGCGAGGGTGCAGGAGCCCAATAAATCCCTGGAGACAATCAAGAAACGAGTGTACCGAGTGTCAGGAACTGGTCACAAACAAAAAGAATGGTGTATAATTATCCCAACAAGGAAGACAAAAGATTGTTTTACAAACAATCCCTTTTCATCTTTAGAAAGAATCAAGTCACTGAAATTTGATTTCTTGGAAGCCGTTGCCATTTGCTTGGATGAGGTCTTGAAGGTTTTCCATTTTTTTCTCCACCAGTTAACACATTGACTAGAAATCTGTGTTAAGAAGTTAGTAAAGTCCTTTCCCTCCTGTTCCTCATCATGCCAACGCCAGCACTAGAAAATTCCAAACAGAATCAAGTTAGTGGCACAGAAAGTTCATGAACTGCCTATGTGACTACTGAGCACGACCACAGTGACCCAACAGCAGACTATGAACTTCTCACAGTGGTCAGTTTCTCTACTCTGTCAGGCTAATTAAAGTTAAACTTTAAAAATTTATTAAAATCCAAACAAACTATTCTTACTAGTGAAAACCACATTCCTACCCACCCCCAGATGGGACTGAGGAACGGCCTTTATATCCACGAAGGGAATAAGCATTCCAGGCACTCAACACCCTCCCGTCTCCCACATGCTTATCGCCTTGCCTACTTAACGTCACTTACACCATCAACCAGTCAACCAAAGCAAAAGCTGCGAGGCAGACAACAGAAGGACATACCACTTATAGCTTCCTGTGCGAAGTATTTGACATCCATATCTTCATCTTGGCCTAACTTCTGCAGCACCGGTTTAACTTCCTCCTGCAAAGCACTGAAATCCAACAGTATTGTCTGTGAAAGGCAGTCTTCTAGGTCAGAAAAAATGTTTTATGGTATAAATGCTCGAAGGCAATTTTTTAAATCCTCACCCAAGGATATTTTTTCTATTGATTTTTAGAGAGGGAAAGACAAAGAGAAACATCAATGTGAGAGAAACGCATCAATTGGTTGCTTCCTGCATGTGCCTCAACCAAGGCCTGGGTCAGGGAGGACCCTGCAACGGAAGTGCATGCCCTTGACTGGAATTAAACCCGGGACCCTTTGGTTTATAGATTGATGCTCTATCCACTGAGCCAAAGCAGCTAGGGCCCAAAGGCAATTTTTAAAGTTTAAAATACAAAAATATTTTAAAATACCTATAAGTTTGACAAGTACTACATTGTATCTAAAGTTACCTAAAGCAGTAGTGCAAAAAATTAAAATTTAAAAGCTATCAAATTTTTTCAAAAGCCTCCTAATATTAAAAAAAACAAAAAAAAAAAAAAAAGGTGGGGGGATAGTAAAAGAGTATCATGTAAAGAAAAATATCCTGTAAGTAAATTACATCTAGAAAATTTGTACTTTAGAAAATTAATTATAATGCTAACTGCAAGACACCCATGAAAAACACACATGGTGTCAAAACAAGCGAGAGGAAAATCATTTGGACAAAAAATAAAAAAGGATCCCAAGTAAAATTTATAGAAAATATTAATTTATTAAGTTTTGGTCGAGAATATGTATATTTTCAGAAAGCAACTCTGAGACCTTGTGGATTCTGGCAAGAGAGAGGAATTGACAGGACTACTCCAGCCATGAAGACAAAGAGAAGCAGTCCAGAGGTGGAAGACGCTGACTTCGCCTTGCCATACTAGCAGACAGCAGCTCTGCATCACTGCAGGTTACTCAGGACCAAACCAGAGAGGGGTGGACCTGCATTACCTCCATTTGTCCACCATCCAGAACTGAAATGTCATTGCTAACATGTACACATAAGGAACTGTTTGACATTGAAATTGGGTCTCAAAAGAACTGTTGGCCCAGAAAGAAACTCATTACAGACTGATTCATTTGCCTTTCAGCATAACCATTATTGCTTGTCTCATTTTCAGTTCATATAAATATATTTCTAGTAGCACATGATCTCACTCATCTAGGGGAAATGATGAACAACATAGTCTGATGAACAAGAACAGACCCAGAGACAAGGAGGCATGGATCAGACTGTTGGACCTCAGAGGGAGGGGAGGGGAGGGGAGGGATAAAGGGAGAGATCAACCAAAGGATTTGTGTGCACACATATGAGCCTAAACAGTGGTCAAGGGTGGAGGCATGCATGGGGAGGGGTGGGGGATGGGAATGGTGGGTTGAGGACAAATATGTGATACCTTAATAAAGAAATTAAAATAAATAAAGTTCTCAGCAGAAATAGCTTTAGACAGTGATCTCCACATATATGAGTGGACGCCTGCAAAAATGGTTATTTTATTATTTTCTTTAAACAAACCCACACCTTAGGTAAAGTGAAAATCACCGAATTTATTTTTAGCCATTACTCCCCACTATCATGTAAAAATTTTAATCTACTTTTAAAATAAGAATAATAATAAAATCTTACTCAGTATCTAGAATTGGTCCAATTTTCTGTAGAGATTTGGCCACATTGAAACGGACATTCGCCACTTGGTCTCCTGCCATTTTCAATACGATGGGCAGCATCTGCTTAGTGGTTATTTCCTGACCACAGGCTTCAGACAGTACCTAGAAAACACTTTTATTTGTAAACTATCCCCAAACCTAAGGAGAAAAATTAATACTTAGTAAAATACTAACTGACCAACAGGAAAATGTTTCTAGTGAACACTAAATCAGGGATATAAAGTAGAATTCAAAAAAACCCAGCATTAGAGCAGAATTCACAATCTGTTACTCCTACAGATTTTAACATGAATTGAAAGTTGACCTTTTTTTCTCTCAACTCTTAATTATCCAAAGAAATACATTCCAAATAGAAGACTATATAGTCAGAATTCAGGAACACAATGTGGAATAACTGCTTTAACAAATGAGTTTAGCAATAACAGCTGTGTAATACTTACATTAATGCAGAATAAGGTGGTCATTCTATGCAAATAATTAGGATCGTTTGCCATTACTAACACTTTGGGAACGATGGTATTCTGGGCCCACTCTGTACCAAACTTCTGAACTAGTTTCATGAGGTTGTTGGTGGCAGCTTCGCGAATGGCATATACTGCAGGAGGGAAAAACAAATGCTGTTCACAGGGCAGCACAACCTAGTTTCCTTACATCATCAGGAAGGTGAGCCAAAAGCGAGATTCTGCGCACACACACTCCAAGGTCAGCCATGCTGCAGTGGCATGTGCTCAGCTACTACTCACAAATACACTCATTTGGTTTCATCAGTTTCGAAATGTGTGATATGTCCAAGGAAAAAGGAGGTGGGAGCTCATAACAGGCATCACTAATTCATTAACAAATGTCAGTGCCTATATATACTATGTGTTACAGGAAAAATACATATACCTCTCCTCAAGATCATACACTTAGAAAAACAAAAGCTACCATACTCCAAGTAGTCACATAGCATAAGAATGATTATAATAAAGTGTGAAATTGTGTAGTAAAAATCATGAGATTTTGTGTAGCAGTTGAGAAGAGAGAACAGGAAGGTCTAAAAAGGCTATGTATTAGGCCTCAAAGATTAGAGAGGATTTGTGTAAGTAAAGAGAAGAGATGGCAATTCCTGAAAATGGTAAAAAAAAATAAATAAATAAATAAAATAATAATAATAATAATAATAATAATAATTTACCAGGACACAAAGGAGATAATTGAAAACTGGGCAAAATGAGGCTGAAGAGTTATAAGACCAAAAACACAGAACATCTTGAAAGGTACATTTAGATGTTATAAAAAAGAAAAAAGATGGGTTTTTAAAGCAAAGTTGTCACCTGGTGACTAGTGTGGGACTTTAGCAAGATTACTCCAATAGGGGCAAGAAAGCTAAAGGGAGAAAGACAGCGAGGAGGTAGGTTAGAGGCCGCTGTGGTCATCTACACAACAGCAAATAAAAACTTATAGACTTCACGCCCGTTTTCCCTTATGTTTATGTAGAGAAATCTTAAATATCTCCTGTGAATAAATGTACCTGCTTTAACACTTAATAATTCCCTACAAGCCCAGGCCAGGTGACTCAGTTTGTTGAAGTGTAGTCCTATGCATCAAAAGGTGGGCGGCTTAGATTCCCGGTCAGAGCACATAACCAAGTTGTGGGTTCGATCCCTGTTTGGAGCACATAAAGGAGGCAACTGATCGATGTTTCTCTCTCTCTTTTTTTTAAATATATTTTATTGATTTTTTTTTTACAGAGAGGAAGGGAGAGGAATAGAGTTAGAAACATTGATGAGAGAGAAATATCAATCAGCTGCCTCCTGCATATCCCCTACTGGGAATGTGACCACGACCAAGGTACATACCCCCTTACCGGAATCGAACCTGGGACCCTTCAATCTGCAGGCTGACCTCTATCCACTGAGCCAAACCTGGTAGGGCTGATGTTTCTTTCTTTCTCTCTCTCTCTCTCTTTTTCCTCCCTCCTTCCTTCCTTCCTTCCCTTTCTTCCTCTCTGAAATCAATAAAAATATATTTTTTTTAAAGGAAGGAGTAATTAAGTACAGAATCTTCTGGGACATGTCAGTCTCACTAATGTTAAATATGATTCAGAAATAGCATAAACACTTTTATTCTAAAAAGAGGAATTTCTTTCCTGTGACTCACATATTAAAATTCATTTAAAAAGAAAAAAATTAGGCCACAGAAAGGTAAGTTTAAAATATAAGAAAAATTAAAAGCCCTCAAAATCTAGTTTGAGAACACTGAAATTACTTCCATATATAAGCCTTTATGAGACTTGCATATTTTTCATAACCCTCCTCTTCACACTCTTAGCCATATGACCTCCCATATGATCCAAATATGCCCTTAACAAAACCACCTACATGTACAAGCAGACACAAATATTCCTATCATCCCAAATACCACAAGCACCAAAGAACAAAGATACACGCAGGCCATAAAGTATGCATAAGATGCTGTGGAACACAATGCCTACTATATGCACCAAAACATGGAAGTGAAGCTCATAGGATGATGTCATGACCTCCCCCGTGGCCCCCGTCTGAACAGGTCTCAGACTATACTGAAGATGCCTGGCACTGGACCTTACTGGTACAGAGGGCACCCTTCCCACCCACCACTTCCTGGCAGACAAGAATAGACACGTGAACCTGAGACTGTCAAAAAGTCAACTGCTAACAAACTGACATAAAAAAAAGTTTTAATATATAACATCAACAGTATCATATATTTTGATAAGCAGCTGTACCAGTTATCATTTGTGATATAGCTTCAAAGAAAAGGATTCTGTGAATTGTTATAAATGCAAAGAGAAGTGCTGAAAAACCTATTTGCTAAATGCTATCCCATCTGACCTTGCCCTGGGCTCACAGCTCACCCTCTCTTGGCATGGTGGCAGCCACAGCCCAGCATGCAGACGGTAAAGTTGTCTTTCACCAATACCAGAATTCTGGGCCCTCAGTCTTTAGGCACAGCTGCCATCTCACTCTCCCAGACGAATGCTTTACTGTGCCACTGTACAGCTCCTTTTCTGTGTCACTCAAACAAGCCACACAGCCGTTTCTTCCCCAGAGGACTTTCATCTAATTCCAGTCTCTGTCCAACCCAGACAGCAAGGTCAAGCAGAAGATCTCAAATTAAGAGAGAAGTGAGTATATGTAGCCCTAGCCGGTTTGGCTCAGTGGACAGAGCGCCGGACTGCGGACTGAATGGTCCCAATTCAATTCCAGTCAAGGGTACATACCTCAGTTGCAGGCTCCAGGGTGAGTGCAGGAGGCAACCTATCGATGTTTCTCTCATATCGATATTTCTGCCTTTCCCTCTCTCTTCCACTCTCTTTAAAAATCAATGGAAAAATATCCATGAATAAGGATTAAAAAATGATGGTGAGCCGGGACCGGTTTGGCTCAGTGGATAGAGCGTCGGCCTGCGGACTGAAAGGTCCCGGGTTCGATTCCGGGCAAGGGCATGTACCTTGGTTGCGGGCACATCCCCGGTGGAGGGTGTGCAAGAGGCAGCTGATCGATGATTCTCTCTCATCGATGTTTCTAACTCTCTATCTCTCTCTCTTCCTCTCTGTGAAAAATCAATAAAATAAAAAAAATAAAAAATAAAAAAATGATGGTGAAAATCAAACAGATAAATAATAAAATAATTTAAAATCTCTGACTCCGCCGAGACCGGTTTGGCTCAATGGATAGAGCGTCGGCTTGGGGACTGAAGGGACCCGGATTCGATTCCGGTCAAAGGCATGTACCTTGGTTGCGGGCATATCCCCAGTAGGGGGTGTGCAAGAGGCAGCTGATTGATGACTCTCTCTCATCGATGTTTCTAGCTTTCTATTTCTCTCCCTTCCTCTCTGTACAAAATCAATAAAATAAAATAAAATAAAATCTCTGACTCCCTGACCCTGGGTGTTGGCACCATTAAAAAAAAAAAAAAAAAAAATCAATGGAAAATTATCAAGTAAGGATTTAAAAAAAAAAAAGTGAGTATATATGTGTGTAAAGAGTTTGAAAATAATGTAACTGAGTAAGAAACAGAGCAAAGAGATTATTCATGGAAAAATAAAAATTTAAAACAAAAAAATAGTAGAAAACAGAAACATCAAACTTGTGTTTCAGAGGAAGCTAACTGGACTTTAATCACAGTATTTCTTCATCACTACACTAGGAAGGCAATCAGATTAGTAATCCTTTCTAAAAAAGAAATATATAAAAATGGGATATATGCAAAGACATGAACACTCCATAACAACCTGTTTTTAACTTACCATGGTCCACAAGCCAGGCCATACATAAAGAATTAAGCTTTTCATCAAAGAATTCCACACCCTGTGGGTACAGAAGATTCCATTAATACACATCTAACAAAGTTTAGAAATCAAGATAATCTATTTATAACAACAAAATGAACTAAAAGCTAAAAACCACTTGTTTCCAAATAAGCTGAATGCATGAGCCAGCCAGAAAACAATTACCATGGAATTTGATTTACAAACTGTAAATCTATTTTATTGGATAGAAATAAAAAACAAAGAAAGCATAAGTGAGATGGCCCAGACCCTGCTAAGTGGAAGAGAATGGGATGTTCAGGAGCCAGATACAATACTACAAATGAGTAGAAAGAAAGCAATATGGACAGTCTGCCAAGCATTATCTAGATTTGTAAAAAGGAATTATCCAATAAAATATCTGTCAATAATATATATTTTTCTTTATATTTTAATTAAAATTTTTTCAATTACAGTTTACATTCATTCGATATAAACTTGTATTAATTTTAAGTGAACAGCATAGTGGTTAGATAATCATATGCTTTACAAAGTGTTCCCCTGATATTTCCAGTACCCACTAGCACACACATTGTCATTACAGTATTACTGACTATATTTCCTTTACTGTACTTTATATCCTCATGAGTATTTTTTAACTATCAATCTGTACTAAAAAGGAAATATGCTAATTGACCTTCATGCTGTGGCACCCACAGCCAATAAGGAAAGAATGTTAATTGCCTGCCACACCCTCAGTGTGGCGGTGCTTAGTCCCCTCAGCCCCACTGGGGCAAGCAGGCACGTGACAAGGCCACTCCACGCACCTGTCTTAAGTCCCCCAGTCCCCTCAGCCCATCAGCCCAGGGCCACCCAAGGCTCAGGAAGCCAGGGCTGGCCAAGGCTTGCACTGCTGACAGTGGCAGCAGCAGAGGTGTGATGGGACATCACCTTCTCCTGATCGCTGAGTCGCCTCCTGCCCCGAGGGATCCCAGACTATGAGAGGGGGCAAGCTAGGCTGAGGGACCACCCCCCTTATTACATCTAGTAATATTAGTAATTCTCAAAAATTTTCCCTTTTTGGTTAAGATTATAATAAATCATTAAGGATGAAGAAACTGCTATCAAGAAATAGAGATATTTCCACTTAAATAGAATATTTCTACATTGATGGGAGGAAGCAGAGGGAGAATAAAGCAGGCGTAACACTGCAGGTGACCTAGCAAAGAGTCACAGATGGAACCATCCTGACTCTCCCAGTTTAGCTCTTCCTGTCAACATTTGGCCACTCCAGCACAGGTGGGGACAAGCTCCTAGAGCTGATTTACACAGCCCTGTTACTGTGGGAAATCTGTACCATGCAGGAGAATGTTGTGACACAGTGCTTTCCTAGAGTCTCCCTTTTGAGATCTACATGTTTCTTTGGATCTAAGAAGTTCCTGAACAGTAATTATATATTTTAAATAAAGAGATGTATCATAAAGTTTCAGTGCTCTGAAAAGTTATTTAATAACTTAAAATGCTTTATAATAATAGATAATGAATAGGTTTTAGCATATACTTAAAACATCATGTCAACTCTCAAAGACTTTTTTCATTTCAGATTATAGATTTTTCTTTAAAAAAATTCAATTGATTTTACAACGTAGAAGCGGAGGAGAGGGAAGGAGGAAAGGCACACGAAAGATGGGGAGGGAGGAAGAGAGAGAGGGAGGGGTGAAAGAGAGAAACATCAATCTGCTGTTGCACAATCTATGTATTCATTGGTTGACCCTTGGAATGTGCCCTGACTGGGGATTGAACCCACAATCCTGACATATCAGGACAATGCTCCAACCCAGCTACTTAGCCAAAGCTCTTGAATCTTAACTTTTATTTCTTAATTTTTATCGTTTAACTTTACATTTATTCAGCATGGTCCATAAGCCAGGCCATATGTAATGTCTTGAAAGTATTTTACAAATTGACTACCTGATATAGATAAAAAAAAAAAGATAAAATATATATGAACAAGAAATTGAAGTTGCATTAACAAACAGTTCATGACCAATGTGTGTCAGCCCTGTCCAAAAGGTATGACTCAGCCAAAGTCACCACCTGCTTGCTTCCATACTCCTCTGTAGAGCTGCCAACCTTTGCTGACCTCCCAGATCTAAGAGGAATAGAGATTTTTTAAAAATATAGAATAGTACTAAAATTCTCTCTCTCTGGACAGTTGTTTCAGCCTTAAGCTAACCAGTTGGCCACTGCTGCTTTCCATTCTGGAGAGGTGACCCATGACAGTCACCAGTGAAGCACAAAGGATGGCCCTCAGTGCTTGGGAGTGACGGGGAAAAAAGTGACAAGATGACTTGCTTGACCCTTTGAGGTATATAGTGATATTTTTTAGATCCAATTTGAAGAGTGGGACACTTCAAATTTTATAAAACATGTGATGACACAGATAATCACAAGATGCATTTAAATATACCAAAACTAGCAATATAAGTTCCGTGGTCCAAGAAAGTAAAAAAATAGATCCCATACGCTGTGATCTGAAAGGAATGGAAGTGGGGGTGAGAGAAGAGAAACAAAGTACAGTAATGTTAGCTGTAAACTGACATATTTTGAGCTTTCTCAAAAAATATTCAGGTATTCACTTATCCAACACTCAACAAATACCAAGAGCCTGATTAATGCCAGGCACTGGCAATCAAACATTAAACACTGTCCTTACCCTAAAAAAGATCACCTGTCTATTTCCCCAACTAATTCTTTTTTTTTTTTTTTCAGGGATATTAAATAGCAGTATTTTTTATTATTTAAAAATTTTGCTTTCATATTTAATGTAACATTAAACATATTTAATGTAACTCCTCTAATAATTAGGGCAGACGATAGGTCTTGAGTTTTTTCCCCCAACTAGTTTTTGACAGACAGTCACAATACATTGTAATAAATGCTACCAATGGTATATCTCACTTAGAACTATCTAAGGCATCTATGAAAACAGAAAGGAAAGGATGTGGCCATAAAACCCAGCTGATTCCTCAACTCCCTTTTAACCAGAATGCAAAAAAAAGTAGCCAGAAAAAAAAAATAAAGCAGTAGCCAGGTTCATTTTGCTTAGTATAACAGGGAAGCTGCTCTGAGTGAAAATCAAAGCTAACTTATCTTGAAACAATACTCCCTTTTCCTCTGTTAAATACTCCTTAAATCACAGAGACATTAAATAACACAAAATCTGTTACATTCCAAGAAACATTGTATGTTTTTATGGTTTGGCTTTTAGACGGTGGTGAGGTAAAATATATCTCTGTAATTCCTTTTTGTTAGAAGTTAATGCACTAATGAAAATAAAAGCCATATATAAGCAACTAGGACCTACCATACTTAGATGTGTCTAAATGAACATAATCATACAAATTATTGGGACCTCCTAGTTGGCATGGTAAATCTGTTCAACTATGTGACACTATCCTTCACTTCATGAAGCACACACTCACCAGCTGGCCTGCCAGCAGAGGCATATACTCAATGATGGCCAGTCGGACCCTCCACTTGGCATCTTCAGCCAGTTCCACGATGGCAGGAAGAAGAGACTGAGAGAGCTGACGGATTCCAATCACTTCATTTACACAATCCAAATTGGAGATGATATTCAAACGAACTTCAGGACACTGCAAGTACATAAGCCCCAAAAGAGCACATATAAAAATCAAGTTCTCTGCCCAATATTTTCCTGTTGTTCATGATGAAGTAAAAACTGCTAACTAAAGTTTTAAAATAAGAAAGTAATGACTCAGGTAAAGTAAATAGTCTTGGAAGAAATATTTAAATACTGAGTACACAAATAACTCATAGCATATAATTGTGACTATTCTTAACCATAACTCTTAATAAAGTCTATAAGATGGCCTTAGGTGGCCTGGCTCAGTGGATAGAGCATCAGCCTACAGATTAAAGGGTCCCAGTTTCGATTCCAGTCAAGAACACATGCCCAGGTTGCGAGCTCAATCCCCAGTAGTGGGTGTGCAGGAGGCAGCCAATCAGTGATTCTTGTTCATCACTGATTCTTCTATCTCTTTTCCCCCCTTTCCCTTCCTCTCTGAAATCAATAAGAAAAAGAAAAGTTTATAGCATAGGCTCTGAAATCAAATTATATGCATTCAAATCCCATATCTGCCAAGACTTTGGGTGAGCTATTTTATCTCTCTGTGTCTCAGCCTCATCTGTAAAATGGGGATAAGAAGACCTAACTCTAAGACTGCTGTGAGGATTACATGTAATAATACATCCCAAAGCATTTATGATCATGACTGGCATATAGTTCTATTCAATAAATGTTAGCTACCAGTATAATGTTGGTATTATATTTAAATAAAAGATACTTTTTAAACAAAGATTTATTAAGTTTGAAGAGAAGAAACCAGAGCCTCTCAGCAGGAATGAGGAAATATTTTTAAGTCTATATCAAAGGCTTTTAGTGCCCATTTTCTGGGGAACTTGCAACCCATACTCAAACACAAGGACTGTCACTAGTTTAAAATAAGTTACTTTTTAAAATCACATTATCCCTGTTTTAGGTTCTATTTTAGTAAAACCTCAAACCAAAACCAAATCAAATCACTGTCTACCAAGCGATAGAATTTATAGCCGGACTCACCTCATCCTTTAACTGAGCTAAAAAAAGAGGTAGAAGATGTTCAATGGTATTGTCTTTGCCCAAAATAGTAGATAATCCCATAATTACGGAAGCTAGAGCCGATTTGACATGTTGATTTGTATCAGATACTAATTCCTAAAATAAAATAAAAAAATTAAAAGCCTTTCTTTTTTGCAAGACAACAGAAACTTCCATACTATTTCCCAAAGAATTTAAAAAGACAGCACTATTTCAATAGATTCACTGATCAACTGTCAGATAACACAAACCTCTGTGCCAACGAGCAATTTTCAACTACAACACACTACTAATAAGTGAAAAATAATGTTACACATTAACATACCTATTCCATTCATCCCTTGTCCACCTTTAAACTCAAAAGAGCTTTAAGGCAAACACACAAAAAAGAAGTAAGGTTTGCCTTCACATAAGGCAGAGTAAAGCTAAAAGTAAGCTGAAGTTAGGCTTACCTTTATATAGGGCAGAACTTGATTCATAATTATGGTCTCTCTACCTTCACTGGGCAAGTTCTCACAAAGTTCTAAAAGAGATAAACAGGAAAAAAATGCTTATATAGAAACATTTACAAGGAGCCAAATGAAGAAATTTAGCCAGTTTTATCAAGTTTCAAGTTAAATTAAATCATATGTTTAAGCAATCTCTAAGAAGTTTGTTCTAAATACACATTTTTGTCAATCTAGATGGCACTGTGTATTGCACTAATACAACGTGAAAACCATTTAAAAAAAAATAGAAATAAGATAAAATGGCTGTTTAGTTTTTACTTATATGATAATGTAACATTTCTATACAATAAAATCATCTCTATTTATTTGGAAACATATTCTAGAACAAAAATCATACAAAATTCACTGACATAAAAAATGCACCAAAATAAACAAGCCATCCTGCAACAGAAACTGAACTCCCTAACCTTTCACTTTGTGGGCAGCAGCTGCTCGGACTTCAGCTTCACAGTCTTTAAGTAGGTTCTGAAAGGCGGGAATGAGGTCATTTTGGGTGATTTTGGGACCCACAGCTTTCTGGAGCTATAAAATAATAGGTACAGGATTAATTGCAATCTAACAAAATAATTAATATGAACAACACAAAACAGCACAACTTTAGGTATTCACTTTTGCCACAAACACTTCTGGTTCAGAGACTTTTGGTACCACAGCAAACTTGTGGGTTTCTTGGTGTGTGTGTGTGTGTGTTTTTCTTTAGTACTTAAAGAAAATACCAGTGCAATAATTTTACCTCTGAAAATTTGTCAGCTACCATATAGCGAACTCGCCAAGATTTATCTTCTGCAGCTTGTCGAAGTGTAGGCATCACCAAAACCTCAAGGTCATCCTGAGACAGTAACTGGGCAATACTAACACAAGCTTCCACAGCTAGGAGGCGCACTGAATCCTAAAGGAGTAAAATTTATTTCTGTTAGACAATATTTACTGACAGCCAAGGTATATGGTGTGGGGTTGTGCTGAGTTTTTTTTTTGTTTTGTTTTGTTTCAAAAAAATACACAGAAGCAAACAAACTACAACAGTTGTCACCAACCGGGGGCGAGGACCAGTGGTAGTCCATGAGGTCCGAAAGGTTGGCGACTGCTGAACTACACTACATGCAGCTTCATGTCTCTGAGTCTGGAAATAGCTGTTCTCTGCCTAGAAGAGTATGTAAAAGCCACAAAGGTAGAACTTATTCTGTGAATGAACAGCAAAATAATTACATTGGCCAGTGCAGAGGTTTTCTTTTAAAAAATGAAGTAAAGCCGAAACCGGTTTGGCTCAGTGGATAAAGCGTCAGCCTACGGACTGAAGGGTCCCGGGTTCGATTCCGGTCAAGGGCATGTGCCTTGGTTGTGGGCATATCCCTAGTGGGGGGTGTGCAAGAGGCAGCTGACCGATGACTCTCTCTCATCGATGTTTCTGACTCTCTATCTCTCTCCCTTCCTCTCTGTGAAAAATCAATAAAATATATTTTTTTAAAAATGAAGTAAAAATGTAAAGTAAAAAAAAAAAAAAAGAACATCTTAATGATATCTTCAAAGCCTCACTCCTAATAAGAAGTTGAGAGAAAAAATGAAAACTATGCTTATACAAGTTTATAACAGATCAGGACAGAGGAAGAGAATAATAAGGGAGTCACTGGGAAGCTGTTTTCAAAATTCAGGTACCCCCTCTTTTCAAAAGTTCATTCTGCAACTTTGCTTTTATGAAAAACCCAGATTAACACAGGTTTCCCTACCTGAAAGAAATCTGCTTTTACAAAAAAAGGTGAAAAGCGAAACCAGCATTCAGCATTTGTTGTGCAGGAGCCATTAGAGGCAGCACGCCTCCAGCAGCGGCCCCGCAGTGCTCCTTCCCGGAGCTACACCCAGCATCTCAGCATCCAGATGCCACCGCTTTGAACTGTGTCTGTGTGCCTGGGCTTTATTTTTATTTAATTTGTGCACCTATTATTAGCAAGATGTATCCCTAAGGTAACTGCTTTTTGCTTTACCACTTTGGCTTACAAAAGGTTTCACAGGAACACTACTTTCAGATTGGGCAGCCTGTACTCAGTTCGAAGTGGCAGTAATAGGAATTTAGGTATAAGATGATGACTTGGAAAGAAATACATAGAAAAACAAAGAGTAATTTTAAAAATTGGATTTAAATGTTGAGAACCAAGGACAAAATAACTTTGAGGTAGCCAAGTCTGAGAAAACACAAAATGAAAAAATTAGAATGATAAGGAATTAATGAACTGAGCTTTCCAAATGTAAAGTGCCAAATGTCAATGTGATACCTATATGTCCTTTGAGCAAGTGGAAATATAAAACTGAACAAAGCAATAAGAAATTAGGGACTGACACCACAGATTTGGGAATACTAAGAAACTGATAATATGTAAACAGAAGTGCCCAGGAGAAACAGGACAAGCCCTTTATAATAACTACATATTTTATATAATACATATATGTCATACGTATATGTATATATATATATATGTACACACATATACATGAGTGACTCCAACTTCCCAAAATATTACAAATTTTTTAAATTGCAGATCAACAAAATCTTACTATGTGCCCAAGACACTTCTCTACCCAAATGAACAAGCTAAAAAAGGCAGAAATCATCTATAGGAAAATATATCAATAAATACTTGTTACTTCTCTTTCAGAACTGATTTTCTCCCAAACCTGCTCCTCCCCAGAATTTTCTCCACCTCAACAATGACACCACCACCAACCCAGTTGCTCAATCCAAAAATCAAGATCTTCCTGATGCCTCTTCCCTCACTCAACCCAATTATAGTTCTACTAACTCTACCTCCAGGTTCTCTCCATCTTCACTATAGCTCCCTAGTTCACCAGTCTTGACTGGAGTATAGACAAGTCTCCTAACTGGTCTTCCTGTTTCTATTTTCACCCCACCTCCCCCTCCCTACCCCCCAGAACTGTAAACTAAACCTTATAATTTAGTTTCCACCCAGAAGCCTCAATTACATCGTCACACCTGCTTAAAATCTAGGTGCATTCTCATTGCACCTAGTAAAGAAAACCCGAACTCTACACATCCCGGCCTAAAGGCCCGTGACCAGACCCCTGCTTATCTTCTACAACCTCATCTTTTACCAGAGTCCCTTTCACCCACTAGGTTCCAGCGTAGGACCACTATCCACATGTGTCAGCTCAGGAAAGGTCATGGCTGGCATTTTTCTTGTCTTGGTTTATGTCACCTCTTCACAGTCCTCCTCTGACTAGCCAGTCTAGAGAAATGTCCTATAATCACTTCCAGTTGTATCATCCTTCTTTACATTTTCATCATAGCATTTATCACTGATATTTTGCTTATTTATTTGTTTATCACCTATTTTCCTTCAGAGCTGAGTAGTTACCACAGACTGTCTGGCCCACAAAGCCTAAATTACAGGGGTGGGAATGGGCAAATATAGAAAAACACATTATTATAATAGCTTCAATCACTCAAAAGAATGTCACACTGCCACTGTATATCTATTGTACTTTCACCCACCCCTGTATTTACTACCTTGTCCTTTACAGAAAAAGCTTGCAAACTATCGTTCCCTCCTCCCACCCTCAAGATTCAACTACCATTTTGCAGGAAATATAGAGGACAAAGAAAATGTTAAATTATACCATAGGAAATGTAATCACCAAAATTCCAAATGAGGATTCTAAATGTGAGCTGTTCAATGTGGTAACCACTCTCTACACCTGAAAAGTGGCTAGTGATAATAATTATTTGGGGTATATTGAGTTAAATACATCATTACCATTATTTTCACCTGTTTTTTTTACTTTATAAAATGTGGCTATAAAAAGCTTAAAACAGGGAGTTTACATTACAGATCTGTTGGACAATGTTTTAAGTTATAATGTTTGAGTGATAAAAGTGCAAAGAGAAGGGAGTAGTTAACTACCATAAGAGTCAAGACAAAGTGTTAGTGTTAGGGGGTGGGCAGTGACAAGTGGGGAGTGAAGGAGGTGTTGTGTTTGGGAGGCCACAGAGGGCTTCTGGGGTGGTGGCTGTCAAAATTCTGTTGTGTTTCATAGATGACAGTTACAAGATGACTTATAATAATTCACTTAAGCTGTATACTTTGTACTGATTTTTTTCATGTTATTTTAATAATTTTAAAAAATTGTTTGGAAGTAAAATTTATCTTTAAATTTAGAGCATCAGCATGTGCCTGATGCTCTTGGCCCTGTTCATGGAAAGTGATTCCAGGCAGACGCCAGGCAAATTAAAAACCCCAAAGGAGTCGCTCTAGTCCACAAACTCTGGTGTCTGAGCCTCTGGAGCACCACACAGAGAGGCAGTGCAGCCTCACTGTGAAGGCCACGAACTGCTTAGATGCCAATCCCAGCTCCACCACCACTAACGAGGCAACTTGAACAAGTTACTTCTATTTTCTGTGCCTCTGTTTCCTAAAATGTAAAATGGGTGATCTACCCCATGGGGTTGTGAAAAAATGAATTAATTTACATAAACCACTTTAAAGAGGCCAAGGAAGATGAAGTACTGCATTTAGGTGCTTGCTGTTTTTATTATCGTTGCTATTTCTACACTAAAGAAATCTAGATCCTTGGATTTAAAACTGCTATTACGTGAGATCACCCTATACACTCACACAGAGGATGCAAAGGAGAGGATGCAAAGGGACAAATGGCTTTCCTAACACATACTGTGCTTGTGTATCTGAAAGTCACAAATTCCAGGAAACGTTACCCTCCCATCACAATCCAGCCTTCAATGCACAAAGGTATTGATCTTAATGCAGCTTTGATCTTCCTAATTATGGGTCCCATTTCCTGACTTCCCCCTTTTATAACAACTGCCAATGTAAGAGAAAATCATGGTCTGATTAAGAAAGAAACATAAAGACAATGAAATGAGTCATATTAAACTACCAAGGCCAGAATTAAGTATTAATTTTGCAGAAAGAATCCTAAAATGAGAACCAAACTCCCCAAAGAAATTCTTAAAATATTAGAGAGAAGCATATATGTGTACCGAAAACACTGAGTTAACTTACCTGTTCATCTGAAGCTAGATTAGTAAACAATGGAACAATTTCACTTTTCACACTATCTAATTCTAAAACTTTTGCAAATTCGCCCAATTTGGAAGCAGCAGCACGTCGTACCATTGGTGTATCATCTGAGCACAAGGAACGGAAGTGCCTGGAACAAATAAAATAATGAAGGTGATACTTCCTATCAAATAACCATTGATTAAATGCTCCCTCCCCACCAACAACACAAACACAGCACGGTATTTTTAGAGGTTTTCTTTTACAAGCACTGTGATTAGGCTTCTACTCATGGCAGAAACAAAGGTAAAACACTGGTATATTCAACTGGACAATATTATTATCCTGATATCAGCCACTCAGTGCTAAGAGGGTACTGTGTAAATTGTCCCAATAACCCCAAATAATTTTTAAAATGCCATATCTTACTGTCTAATTTCTGCTTTGACAGCATTTGAAGCCCTGGGATAGCAAACGCTGAACAAACCACACGCAGATGTGCGAGACGTGAACCAGTCCCCACTCGCTAGGCGTTTCACCAGAGGAACAAAATGAGCTTCCAGAGCAAGAGGAGTATGCTCCTGGGAGATCTGCCTCAGGGACTCCACAGCCTTGTCTCGTACCACAGTCTCTTCCACCGTTGCCAGACTTTCCAAAGGAGGCTGAAGAGACCAAAGAGGAAAACCAGAGAGAAAAAAACACTTACTGAATCAGGTTAGAAGCAGATTATCACCTTTTAAAGTGACTGAAGGGAGGTGGTACATGTAACCAGAATGTTAGCTACATCACACCAAATGGCTACTTTCAGTTCACACAGTGATAACATATGGCGTGTCCAACCTGAAGACACGACTTCTGTAGGACAGCCAAGATCTCATGTCCCAGATGGCAAATCCCAGATGGTGTCTACAAATGACACAGTGGAAGAGACTTGCCACAATATTAATATTACTGTGAGCTGAATCAAATATCTGAAAGGTTTAAAAGACACATAGCCAAATTCAGACAGGATAATGCATATTTATCCAAAAGGAGTGCAAAAACATGACCAACACTGGGCGCCATAACAACATGATGACATCTCATCAGGCCATGAGCCCTCTGCCTTTGAGTATTATTCTACCATTCCTGAGATGTAAGCAACCCATGTCCACTAACTCCACACAACTTACCCAATCTATAGAAGGCTGAGTACAAATCACTTTTTTTCAGAATACATACAGCATCTTTCCATGAGCCAGACATGTTACAGTAATTTTTATAAATAGAGGACAGAGATGGCAGTAATCCTTGCTTGCAGCTTAGAAACAAAAAGATTAAAGGGACTGCTCTGGTGTAAGATCCATAAGTGACACCATCCAGTGAGAAGTGAAAGCAGTCAGTTCCTTAAACTTCATCCTTTTTGGGTTTGTATTTGGTCAGTTACATTCAGCATATGCCATGACCTGAATCTGGTCATTTCTACAAAAACCATACTTAGAACTGACCAAAAGATTAAAACAATTATACCCAGCTGGGGTGGCTCAGTGGTTGAGGGTCAACCCATGAACTAAGAGGTCACCTGTTTGATTCCTGATCAAGGCACATGCCCCGGTTGTGGGCTCGATATCCAGTAGGGGGCGTGCAGGAAGCAGCAGATTGCTGTTTCTATCTCTACATCCCTCTCCCTTCCCCCTCTTTAAAAATCAATCAAAACTTTTTAAAGATTGAAACAATTATAGTAAGCCAAAAGAAAGAAGCATGTCTACTTAAAAATCCATTTCAAAAATTGTTTGAAACACAAAGGAAGAAAGTACTCAGCTTTTGCCTAGCCAGTGTGGCTCAATGATTAACCATCAATATACAGACCAAGAGGTCACAGTTTGATTCCCAATCAGGACACATGCCCAGGCTGTGGGCTCAATCTACAGTGGGGGGGTGAAGAAGGCAGCTGATCAATGATTCTTTCTCATCATTGATGTTCCTCTCTCTCCCCTTATCCCTTCTTCTGAGAAGTCAATAAAAATATATATTAAAAACAAGAGTTTCGCCCTAACCAGTTTGACTCAATGGATAGAGCATCCTCCTGTGAACTGAAGGGTCCCAGGTTCGATTCCCATCAGGGGCACATGCCTGGGTTGCTGGCTCGATCCAATGTGCAGGAGGCAGCCAATCAATGACTCCCTCTCATCACTGAGATTTCTCTCTTCCTCTCTAAAATCAATAAAAATATATTTAAAACAAAAACAAAGGTTTCCTTAAACAAAAGAAGAAGAAGAGAAGGAGGAGGAGGAGGAGGAGGAAGAAGAAGAAGAAGAAAGTACCCAGTTTTCATAAGAGGACTTTGGAAACACTTTGAAAAGATAACTGCTTTCTTACTTGTGAAGGTCTTTCATGATCTGGCCATGCCTTCTGACCTTCTCTCGTGCAATATCATTATATAAACTCTGTCACTACTACAGGATAAGGCCAAGTTCCTCAGAACTGCATATGAGTTGCCTCTTGATTGAAATGCCAAGATCTTTCAATAAAAAATTATTATTATACTAGAGGCCTGGTGCACAAAATTCGTGCACTGGAGGGGGTAGGAGGTAGTCTCTCAGCCCGGCCTGTGCCCTCTCACAATCCAGAAGCCCTCAGGGGATTTCCAACTGATGGCCCACTAGAAGCTGGCAGTCAGACATCCTTACTGCTGCCAAGGAGGCAGGAGAGGCTCCCACCACAGACACTGTCCTCTCCAGTGATGAGCCCAGCTTCTGGCTGAGCAGTACTCATCACTATGGGAATGCACTGACCACCAGGGAGCAGCTCCTGCATTGAGTGTCTGCCCCCTGGTGGTCAGTGTGCATCACAGCAACCACTTGTTCTACTATTTGGACGATTTGCATATTAGCCTTTTATTACATAGGATTATAGCATTGAGGATAGAGAAGAAATAGGAAGACAGGTTCCTTGCTCAAGTAGAGTTTATATTCTAATGGAGGAAGACAACAACTAATCAAGAAAATAATGAATACTCTGGAAAAAAGTAGAATAGGATGGTAAGAGAAGACGAGGCAGTTCAGGTTAGGTGGTCAGGAAATGTCTCTGTTAGTACCGTGTTTCCCCGAAAATAAGACATCCTCCGAAAATAACACCTACTTACAGGTTTCCTTCTGAGTGAAATATAAGGCATCCCCCCGAAAATAAGGCCCCCCTAGGCTAAACATGAGAGATTTGGTCCACTGATTCTGAAAGAAATGGAGTCACAAGAAATTCACCAGGAAATTCAGGAATTGAATTGTTATGATGATGTTCCAGAAGATGATGACATGATTGTCATTGAATAAATGAGTAAATTCTTGATACTGTAGGATTCACAGTTTGTCTGGTTTGTGTTGACAACTACCGTACTACCGTACCATATACAGGTAATAAATTTCCTTTAACAATAACTGTGTACCGTATTCTTCTTCATGAAAAAATAAGACATCCCCTGAAAATAAGACCTAGCACATCTTTGGGAGCAAAAATTAATATAAGACACTGTCTTATTTACAGGGAAACAGGGTAACACATTGAAGTTGGTATCTGAATGACAGGGAGCCAGTCACAGGAAGCTCAAAAGAACATTATATTAGAAAGAACACCCATGGCAACAGTCTTAAGGCAAGGATTTGTAAGCTGAGGTAAAGCTATGACAGGACTATGGATAGTCTAAGAGCCATAGCAGTGAGTGATCCATCTTCAGGGTGAAGAGAGACAAGTAAGGGTGGGTGGGAGGCAAGAATAGATGGCAACTAGTTAGGAAGTAATCTAGAGGAAAAATCATGTGATCTGAAAAGACTAGAGGAAAAATGAGCTAAGTAGTAGTGGGAATAGAAAAAAGTGTAATGATTTGAAATATATAGAGAATCTACAAGAGTTACTAATGAATTAAATTTGGAAAATGAGGGAAAGAAGAATCAAGAATGCCTTTTAGGATTGGCTTGTGCAACTGGATAGATGGTGATGCCATTTACTGAGATGGGACAACCTCATGAAAGAGACAGAACCCAGTTCCGTCTTAGACATGTTAAATTTGAAATGCCTGTTTGATATCCAAGTAGAAAAATCACAGGTAGATTTGGAGACAAATATATACACACACACATATACCCATATATTTATCTATACATATGTCTACATATATACATATATTTATATGTATACACATATACATGGAATTCCATGGAAAAGTTGGAGGTAGAAACAGGAATCACAAGAGTCAGCATCGTAGAGACAGCACTTCAGCTTTTAAGCATATATCCCTATCTTGTCCAACTGTGGAATTCCTAACATCCTTCAAAATCAACTTCAGACATCACCTACTAAGTTTTTCCCTTATCACTCTGGATTAATAATATCTTCCTATTCTCCATTACTTGGGTACCTTCTATGGGCTTCTATTTTTCCATCTAACACTGTGCAGTAATTATTTGTTGATACATAAGGACAGAGACCTCATTCCATTCACACGAGTCTTCTTTAACATCAACACTATGACTTCAGTGCTGATATAGTAGGCTCTTAGTAACTGCCAACTAAATTAAACTGAACTCTTCAAATTCACAAAGAAAGTCTGAAGTAAAAGTTATGCTTATCATCAAAGACAGAAAGCTAATATAGATATATAAATGTTTCCAAGATCATGATATTGCTAGATGAGAATTAAGATTTCCAACTTCAGGAATGGGGGGTGGGGGTATGAGGAACCTAAGTAGAAACAAACAATCCTCCCAAATTCTAAACTAACAAATTAAGTCTACAGAGGCAGACGAGAAAAGAAGAAGAAGTTCTTATATGCATAGTCAGAAAATTAAGAATGGGTTGGGTCCATTGAATCCAAAGTGCCTACAATATTTGTTCTCTCCACAGCTAACACTGTGGACTAACCATCAGATCTGCATAAAAAACGCTGCAGTGTGCCAATCACCAAACAATGAACCATTTATACTGCAAAGTCCTAAAAGGAGGGTAGGCAGAATATACTCACCAGCAAGCAGTGGGCAAAGTCAGGTCCTCCCACCAGGCCGGTGAAATTTCCCAGCTGCTCAGCAAGAGCTAACAGCACCTCATCTTCATCATAAATTGTGTCTGAAAATGACAACAACCCGGTAGTCATCACCAAGGCCAGCCAGCCCAGAGCTGAACCCGCAAACAAAACTCAGAATAGACTCAATATGTAAATAGATGGTCCTGTCACTGGCCTAACGGTGGTTTCTTCCTTCTCCATCCAGAGTCTTCCTGGATCTGTTTTACAGAATTAGAAACTCATAATCCCATATCAATTACTCTCCTATTAGGTAAACAGTTAATGCCTGAATATGTGCAGCCATCCTGTTTCTTTTGCACAAAAGTGACAGGCTCAACTTAGTGCTCAATACCAAGACTAACAAATTCTAAAACACCCAGTTTTGAAAGCAACTGGAAAATGGTAATGCCTGTGCCTTTCTTTAAGCAAAAATTCACAGACCTGTGAGGAAAGGCAGCAGCTCGGTTCGCGTCCTTTCTACTCCAAGCGCCAGGGCAATGGTTGATAACTTCTTAATGCTGTTGAGGCGGAGCTTTAAAAAACAAAGTGAAAAGAAAACAAACTAAAGAAGCAAAAGGCTAAAGTTGCAAACTGGTGAGATAATGGCATACCGGTAAGGAGGAGGAAAGCCTTCCATTTAGATTTTATTCTGAGGAAACTCAGGAGCAATGCGACATGGCTTCATTAGCCAAAGGAAGATTTCTTAGGAGAAATGAATGAAAGAGGACGCGATACCCAGGGCGTGAGATAAAATTAAAAAGAGAGCTCGGGCCCTGGCTGGTCTGGCTCGGTGGACAGAGCGGAGGCTTGCGGAGTGAAGGGTCTCGGGTTCGATTCTGGTCAAGGGCACATGCTGGGGCTGCGGGCTCAGTTCCCAGTGGGGGGCGTGCAGGAGGCAGCCGGTGGGTGATTCTCACATCATTGATGTTTGTCTCTCTCTCCTCCCTCTCCCTTCCTCTCTGAAATCAATAAAAATGTTTGTTTGTTTTTAAATAGAGAGGGAGCTCGGACAGTGGGGAAGCAGGCGACGCGGCCTCTCCAAGGAGCGTTCCACCAGGGCTGCCACACCGGCTCCGCCAGGCCGTGGCCATGCCGCCCGCGTCCTACCCAACAAGCCGGGCCAGTTTCCCAGCTCGGAGGAAGGCACCGACCACCGCACCTCAAAGGGCCCTGGGCATCCCGCAGCCTCCCCGGCGCCCCGCCGCCCGGCGCCCCCGCCCGCCCGCTCCGCCTCCAGACCCCGGCCCGCGGCGCGCGGCGCGCCCTCCGCACCGCCCGGAAGGGGCGCCCCGGCGGGAAGCCGGTTCTCCCACAACCGCCCGGTGGGACGCGGGCCTGCGCCTCAGGGGGTCCGGAGGAGGGGTGCCGGGGCGGCCCCCGGGGGGTCGGGGGGAGGTCCTCAGGGTCTTCCCCTTCCTCCCCCTCAAGTTTCTGCTTGAGTCCAGCTCTTTGAATCCCGGCCCCCCCCCCCCCCCCCGCCTTCACCGCCGGCCTTCCCCCTTCCCTACCCGCGCGCCCGGCCGAGCCCGCCTCCTCTCCCGGGCCTAACTCCAATACCTGCACGTCCTCGTTACGGAGCTCATCGATTAAAACCGCGATCGGGTACAGCGAGTCGTCTCCATCTCCGCCCGCTGCCCCCGAGCCGGTCCCAGGCCCAGCCGCACCCGCCATGTTCTTTCTCCTCAGCCTGCTCACCACCGCCCGCCCCGCGCCCAGGCCCCGCCCCGCGCCCAGGCCCCGCCCCGCGCCCAGGCCCCGCCCCGCGCCCAGGCCCCGCCCCGCGCCCAGGCCCCGCCCCGCGCCCAGGCCCCGCCCCGCGCCCAGGCCCCGCCCCGCGCCCAGGCCCCGCCCAGCGCCCCAGCAGGCAGGGCTGTGACCTGCGCTCGGGCTCCCCGGGGGCGGAGGAGCTGAGGCCCTGCAGGGTTGGTGGCGGTCTCCGCCTGGCCCCCCATGCGGGAATTGTAGGTTTGAACTCGTGAAGAAAAAGAGGCTGGGAAAGCGAAAGAAGCTCCCGCATCCTTTCTCTGGCCGAAGGCAGCAGGGGCAGGGATGATGCATCCTGCTCGCGGTGGTCCGAAGCGGTCGGAAACTACCTGGGTGACCTGCGTGGGTGACCTCTGAGGACCAAAGAGGGTGCCCAAGGCCGGGAGGGAAAAGATTTAGCGCCTCCCCTGACTTCCTCCTGGCCCTGCGCCCCTGGGCCTCCTACCCGCCTTTCCCCACCAGACTCAGGGCCTCCACAGAACCCCTCCGCCCCTTCCTTCCAGAATTGCAAGTCTGGCTCCCGCTCCGAAAGACAAATAACGAGGGCGGTGAGAGAAAAAGAACAGTGCTGTCCCAACTCCCAGGCAGTATTTTTTCCGCTTTCTGCAGGCAAGCTGTTAAAAACATGCTGCTCTCTTGTTTTTGTGTTTCTTTTCAGTTTGGGACTGGAACGGTGCCTTCTGTTGTATTTTCTTCCTCCCATTTTTTTAGGTCTTTAACATGCTCGGAAGTACAACAATCAAGCAAAAGTAGGGCAAGCTTGACTCCTTCCAAATTGGATGGAGTGGCTACTCAGCTTGTACGAGAAAGGCTCAACTAGCTTCCCTGAACTCCAGGAGCAAAGGCAGCAGTGGGCGGAGGTGAGGGCATGGGATTCTTTCTTACAAAACTTGATGGAAAGTTTTATTTACCCCTGTGAGGACAGCACGGAGTCACTACAATGTCCGGTCTCTTCTGTTTGTTTTGGACTGTCAGCAACTTGGAGTGATAACTACATATGGTGATCACTGTCTCTAAAGTGGGAAATCTGTGTGTCTGATTATAAAAATGTAAAATTATGAATAAATGCAATTTAGGATACCTTTTTTTTTTTTTTTTTTCAAATGTGGGGGTCCTGGAAGTAAACACAACAGATAGGAAGTCTGATAGTAGTGGAAGTCTGGAAACCAATGGACTTGAACAGTATTTCTAAAATTAAGTCTGTGGATGTATACTCTAGAGTTTTCATTTTGACATTTTTTTTTGGATGTGCATAGCATATTCTGCATTACTTGAATGACGGCTGTATAACCTGGTGTTGCCACATGATTTCAATACTTACATTTACTCTGTGTGTTTCAGTGCTTTTATTGTTCTGGGATAAGAAGAAAATAACAGTGGAAGGTTTAAAAGGAAAGTAGCATTTTCATATGAGCAAAAGGAAAGCCAAATGACATCATGGGTCTGCACTGTCCCAGGAGTGCTAACAGAAAAATGAGAAAATAGAGGTCGCTTGGTGGCACTTTGAATGCAAACGAAGATAGGGTTAGTTTTGTGGTTTTATTTGTACTTCACTTGTAAATCTATTTTTATGTTTTAGTTGAATAAGAACTATAAATAAAAACATTGTACAGTATTTCTACTTTTTGTAAATGTAAGTAACATTGTAATAAAAATAATTTAAGTTGACAGAGCTTGCAAGACTTTTTTTTTATTTTTTATTTTTGTCTTTAGAAATGGATCCAAACACTATTTACGTTTGAGAAACAGGACTAAGAAGCGTTTTGATTTAGTGCTTTAGTAGTGAGATCTGAGAGGGTTCTAATTGGTTTGGGGAAGAGAAATGTGTTCCTTGTATTTTATGTAAAACGTCTTCAGAAATGATAAAGGAAGCCAGGGCAGGAAGGAGCACATTAAGCCAGCTCCACACATGTCATCATCAAGCTTTGGCAAGCTTCCATGTGCTGAGCAAAAATTAGCACACTGGCACTAAACTATTTTGTTTAAAACTCAAATATGCTTTGCTTACCCAAGCACAATTAATTGGACACCTAAGGAGTAACTATGATTAAACATGAAATCACAAGCTGAGAAAATAGGCCCCAGAAAATTGCCTGGTTTGAGAGTCATCAATTCTGGACTTCAGTTCCCACCACTGTGTCTGACTCATTGTGACCTACCTTTCTCTATGTCTCAATTTCACCTCCCACCCCTTACCCCCAGTAAAATGGAGGTAATCACCTCTGGTTCCCTCTCTGGTTGCAGTGATGGTGTGACACTGAAACAGGTAGTAAACATGGAGATGCTAATAAATCCTTCAATAAAGAAAGTGATTAAAAAATGGTAGCAGCTCAGAGGGAAGGCAAGGGAGGGTGGGTGGAAAGAGATGAACTAATGAACTTGTATGCATATATGCATAACCTGTGAACACAGACAATGGGGTGGTGAGGGCCTGTGGGGACAGGAACAGCTAGAAGAGGTTAATGGAGTGGTGGGGAGGGGGTTGGGGGGGCACGACCTATGTAATACTTTCAACAATAAAGATTTTTTAAAAAGAAAGACAGACTGTAGCAGAAAGAGGCTATTTCAAAGGGTGAGCAAATGGAAACTGGAACAAAATCTAAGACAGTCTTTGGGGAGTGTGGTCCAGCGGCTACCTGAATTGCCATTGGATGCTTGTTTAAAAATGCAGATTCCTGGCTCCCACCCCAGACCTACTTAATCAGAACCCCTGAAAATGGGGTGGGACGCTTTTCCATGCACCCCTGATGGATCTAATATACACTGATGTTCACAAGTCATTGATTTTAAAGTTCATCTGGAAAAATACTTCCCATGTCAACAAAAAGGCATCCTCTGCTCAGGGAGTCTTAAAAGTCTCTGTTCTGAAAAAGCAAATGACAGCTACAGCTGCTCATCAATAAGCAATTCTGCCCAATCAGCTGTGGGTTTTGTCGGATTAAAGTGCTCCCATTCTGCTGGCTTCCTAGAAGTCAGCTAAGCTTGACTGCAAGTATAGAACTGTGGGACTGGGCCCTAACTGGTTTGGCTCAGTGGATAGAGTGTCTGCCTGCAGACTGAAGGGTCCCAGGTTCGATTCTGGTCAAGGGCATGTACCTTGGTTTGCAGACACATCCCCAGTAGGGTGTGTGCAGGAGGCAGCTGATCCATGTTTCTCTTTCATTGATGTTTCTGACTATCCCTCTCCCTTTCTCTCTGGGACTGAGCTGTTTCCAAACCCCCTTCTCTCTACGGCTCCCTGCAGTCTCCTCTCCGCATCCCAACACCCCACAAGAAACTAATGACCAGGGAGCTCCAAAAACCCTGAGTTCTAACACCCACAAACAGTCCACTCACTCAGCGAGTCAAAGGAAGACAGGGTTAGACTTGCCCAGTTCCTGTCAGACAAAGCACCACGATGTGGAGAAATGCAGGCGGATAGGATCAACAGCCATCAACTCTTGTGCTTGTAATAGTTCTCAGTGCCTCAGCCGAAAACGGTCAGTCCTGAGCAAGCCAGAATGACATCATTGTTGGGCTCTCTGGCCTCTTGCTTCACATTACTAAGCTTGCCTCTTCCTCAGTGCATGAGAGAATTCTATGTGTAGCCAGTTCTCTCATGGGCAGATTCAGAAGTGTTGTCTCATTGAAAAGGCCATCAGGAAAGTCATGGATGGTGTTTCTCAGTGATTAGAGTATCAGCCCACACACTAAAGCACATGTGTCAAACACAAGGCCCGCGGGCCAAATCCGTCCCGCCAGGCCTTGCAATGTGACCCGCACCGCGCTGTCATCACTACACTCCGCTGCGTTTCCATCACAATGACAGTTTATGACTGTTCAGTAAACCATTCGGCCCGCGATTTAGGCTGGATTTTAGATTTTGGCCCCTTCTCTGATTGAGTTCGACACCCCTACACTAAAGGGTCATGTGTTTGATTCCCGGTCAAGGGCATCTACCTGGGTTGAAGGTTTGCCCCCAGCCCAGTCGGAAGCACATGGGAGACCACCAATCAATGTGTCTTCTCTCTTCTCTTCTTCTCCCCTCCCCTCCCCTCCCTTCACTTCCCCTCCCCTCCCCTCTCCTCTCCTTTCCTCTCTTCCCTTCCCTTCCCCCTTCCCTTCTCTCTTCTCTTCTCTTCTTTCTCTTCTCTTCTCTTCTCTTCTCTTCTCTTCTCTTCTCTTCCCCTCTCTCTCTCTCTCTCTCCCTCTCTCTCTCTCTCTCTCTCTCTCTCTCTCTCTCTCTTCCCCCCTTCCCCATCCTCCTTTCCTTCTACTCTTTCAAAGAATCAATGGAAAAAATATAAGAAAAAGTGGTGGACATGTACAGAAAACCCAAGGCACATGCAGGCATTTTCCAACTATCTTCATTTAGCAAGATGACCCTGGTAATGGATTACCAGGTCTGGATTTAATTCATTACAAAGCAGTAATGATCACCATAGCATTAATGATATTTTAAATTTCTATTTGTACAAAGAATGTCTTCATTCTCTGGGACTCAAATATTTCCCCCTCAACTTCACCTCAATATTCATGTTCTTTCTCTTCTCTGCTTTGTGGCCAAATTTTAATCCCTTATGGCTGAGAATATTGGACAGAGAAAGAGACTTTACCTGAACTTTACCTGAAGTTATACAATGAATTGGAAGCTGTATAACTCATAATCAGATATTATCACTACTCCTTGCTTTATGCCCTATCTCCATGCTATAATTAATCACTATATATAAAAAAAAGGTATTGGATTTCCAGAGCAAAACTTCGCTTGAATTCTTAGAAAGAGCATACCAAAGAGACGGACAGTCAGTCCTGACTCAGAGCAGTGTACCAATGGCCAAGAGAGTGTACACTAGAGTCAGGAAGCCCTAGATTGACATCAATGACTGGTGTAACTTTGGGCAAATAACTTGCTCTCTGAATCTTGGCTTCTGCATCTGTATAGTGGGGCTGTGAAGTTTGCTCCTGTGTT